TTGGAGCCCAAGTTCTGCAGCATTGGTTGCCACATGATTCAAATGGTGCTTTTCCTTCTGCGCCCCTTCTCCCTGACCCATTTGCAAGTCGCCAAGTGTTTCTCCCACACTGTAGCGGCCATGGAAGTGTCCACCCTACTGTTTGCCACCGGTCTCGTTCAGCTCAGGATCAGACTGCAAAGATCTGACGCAAGATTGGGTTCACTCGCCTCGCAGAAAAAGCACTGAGGGGGGAGTGGTGGGAAGCTTTGAATATTTTTGAATAATTGTCACCATTTTGATCCATTTTGTAGTGTAGAAGATATGAAACAAAGACTGAAACAGAGCTAGAAATGTATATGAGGGGGGGGACTGGTTTTGAGCATTTGGGAGTAGGCCTAAATCACATATATATCTGTAAAAATATCATATATACTATATAAGCATACATATATCTATATACATGTTTGATCGATATGCCTACATTGACCTTTCAAACCCACCCCATGTGCCTGATCCGCGCCAGTGTGCTAGTCTTGTTCCCATGGATCGAGCGTTGTAGGGTAGTCCACTTCAGAGACCCCGCGCTGGGGAGGGTGTTCCACCCTCTCTTTCAGGCGCTCAGAAAGGTGCTTGATGGATGATGGTTCCCAAGTCAGACTGTCACTGGAGATGCTTGATGGATGATGGTGGTTCCCATCATGGCAAGAGTCATCCATCATGGCAAGTCATCCATCATGGTTCCCAAGTCAGACTCATTTTTTTCTGGGCGAGTCGATCTCATTCGAATGGAGATCTCTCGATTCTCCGCTGTGTTCCGCGGCCCACGTGTCGCCAGGTACGGCAGCGAAGAGGGTTGGGCGCCCCGCCCGACTCGTCTGAGGACCCTCCATCCGTTCAGTTCCGGGTGAGGATGTGGAGGAGCTCCGTGGGTGAGGAGGGTGAAGTCCTAGAATTCTCTAAGATTCCAACCATTGATGTACCAGCTGTTACTAGCCTGAATCCCGAACAATTTTACTGAATCCACCATCCTGTCTGTGTCACCAATGGACCCTCCACTTCTTAGGGACCTCCAGACACCGATTGGATGGTATACACTACAAAAGGTCAACCTTTTCTTTAAATGGTCTTGGAAGGCGACCGGGGGTCAACCGCGATCGCTCAGAGTGGTGACTGGTGGTGTCTGGTTCGGTCGGCCGATGTCCAAGGGTCCTAGGATTCAAGAGAGAATATGATTCCTACCCAGCAAAAGCGGATCACAGTTTTTGTATGTTTTTGTTGATTTTGTGGGGAATAGTATTCCTACCAGGAAAAGTACCGTGGATCACAACATGTTTTTGTGTTTTGGGGGGAATTGGTTTCCCTGCGGAGTGATCGAACAGGTGGAACGGAGCTGTTCACCGCGATGTGCCAAGGAAGTTCGGCATCGGGATGTATCTATCATTCGTTGGTCGGATGTTGTGAGGATGTGTCGACTTCTTGCAGGGAAAGACGTGTACTGTATTTGTTTTGGGTGACAGGCTTTTGTTGCCGGGACGTTTTTCTTTTCCCGATAAGGTACGGTTGCCGTTGTCCTGTTTTTTGTTGGTGGAGCTTCTTGAAAGATTGTTGAAGACTCAAACCCTTCCTGCTCAGTGGATGGTTTTTGGCAAAGAATAGGCTCCTGTGCACAGCGCGGCCCTATGAATTGTGCTGCCCGCTTTCCGAGACAACCTGGCCTTGTACCCCGCAGTGCTGGCGGAATTCTGGCGAGCGCGCGCCCCAGGAGTGCTCGTTGTGAAATTGTGAGAACGAAAAAGTATGTTCATACCCTTTAGCAAACTTCCCGCTCTGTGTTCCCTCAACCAAATGATTTTTTTGACGATTCCCACGAAAGAAACCAATTGAACTTATTGTTGCCAGCTTTTTGCAAACCCTCCAGCCACAAGATCTTCCAAACTAGAAAACCGGGTCTCCAACTAATTAACTTTGAGTGTTCTTTTTTGAACCACGTGAACACCAGAATTCACTTAAAGTCTTTTGCAAGTTCTGTTTGAGGTGCTGCATCTTAGCAGGTGGCCTGAGGGAGGGATCCCCCGCTTGCTTGAGTGTTTCGTCTTGCTTTAGTGTTTCGAGGTCGCGCTGCACTCGACGTCACTTGACCGCTCCTCTTCCGCTTGGGTCCATCGAGGTCTTGCGCTTGGGCACCGGGCGAGCGGCGCTGCTCACGAACCAGGCGAAGCTGCGGCGCACATGAGTGCCGCAAGAAACCTCCCAAGATGAACCAAGTAAAGGCCTTGTCATATGGCACCTGGGCGTAATAAGCAACAACCTGAAAAGCGTAAGGTTGCGTAAGGGAGTTGTGAGGCATTCATGCTGCGCAAGCTTGCTATATGGTTATATTCTCATTCGTAGATTCTTAGCACACACCTTGTCAAGAAAGGAACTGTATGGACCATGAGAGCTTTGAAACCCTTGGGTACTGACATTTGTGCGCACTGTGTTTCAGGTAAGTGGCGAAGGATGAACTTTCCCCACCATTCTTAGTTCAGAAGTGGAAAGGTGAGTGCTGGCAAGGTCAGCTGTGAGTTTGTTGTGGCCCAAGCAGCGGAAGACTCAAAGAGATCTAGCAGCTAGCATGCCTGCGCCAAGTGGACTACCTAAGCAGTTCATTAGTGTCATGTCATGGGTGAGCTGGGCGGACCTGGGCTACATGTGGGTGATGGTCAACTGATGCTTGTTAACCCCCAAAGTCACGTCCTCCATGGCCAAGCCATGGCAATCACAGGGAAGTCCCTTGCTGAGATCAGTGAAACCGCACAAAAAGGTGAAATCATGTGAAAAGCTCCCAAGACCCAGCAGAGGTCTCGCAACCAACCTTTGCATGGAAGTCCAAGAAATCCAGGAACTCATTAACAGCCAGTTGATCGGTTTATTGGTTTATGTTCCATAATAAGCTTCGCTTCGACTGGAAGACCCTGAGCATCCGGACGTCCGGAAGACGATTTTCCCAACGGCGCCGTTTGACCCGAACAGAAAACAGGTACTTGTACCGCTTGTACCCATTTTTCTGAGGTACTTGGAGGGTCTAGGTAGTTATAGTTATATATACATGCCCCATGAACTTTGCATGACTTGTCCATGTAGGGAGGGTTAGTCACTCTTCCAGTCCCATTCGTCTGGTCCGGGATAGGCCAACTCCAAGACCTTGATCCAGGCAAGGCAAAGTTCGGGTCGTATATGGGCTTACTTGGGAACACGGCGTTGGGGACGGTCCACAGCAGCTGAACACTGCGAGTGCACCTGGGAGGTCCAGCTATGCAGACTGCGTTCTTGTTTAATCCATCAACAGTCTACATTACTGGTAGGGTACCATTCGAAGTGTCCTTGAAGGAACAAACGTCGACCATACCATATTGGATTTTCCAGTTGGTGGCACCACAGATTCGTCAGGCCAAATGACTGGGGGCCGGCAACCGAAGTCTGCACCCGGTGCTCCGCAAAATGGAAGACTTCGGCCACTTCAAATTGGACAGCAGGGTCCGCACTGAGACCTGACTTCTTATCAGAACTTATGAACTCATAGGAGCAAGACTCTTAAAAACACCCTCACCTCTTTTTCAATCAAGAAGTGCTCACTTGATGCTGCAAGTCTTTCAAGAAATCACTCAAAGCCGGAATTGAAACCTGTCAGAACCTGTCGTGCCTCATTCTGTGTGTTTCGCCCTGCCAAACCACCGTTCGCGGCTCCAAAAGCCCGCTGAGCTCGCTTAGCCATGGCAGGCGATGGCAGGGCGATGGCATGTCGAGTGCCAACGCAAAGTGCTGTTGGGGAACATGGAGGTGTGCGTTGGACAGGGAGCGTTGGGCCTTGGACACAGAGTCCGGAGAGTGTTGGTGCCACACTTGTCTCGGCTGTGGAACGAGACGTGCACCTCTCGTTTTGTGTGTCGAGTGTATTCATGGTTTCACAATGTGTCACAGGTTCGAGTGTATTACTGTATTCTGAGTTGTGAATATGCTTCTATTGTTTATCACACAATATCACACATTACATCAAATGAATAGGTTTCGTCATGTTTCATCATTCAATATAATTACAGTAATTCATTTGTCCACAGTCACAGATATGATGGGTGTTGAGTGTTTCACAATGGGTGTTGGTTTGGGGAGTCCTTCTTGTTCTGCTGACATGTCGCCCCACCCAGGGTTGAGCAGCTCAGGGTTGGCAAGTGAAGGGTTGCGTTGCCGAGAAAAAGCCATGAAGCGCGCATGCTCCTGAACACTTGATAATTAGCAGACAGCTGCAGCACTGCAGAACATGTAAAATGTGTTATGTGATGACTCTAATCTCCTGCAGCACTTCAAACACCCTATCATATACCCTAGCCTCCCAAGATCTTCAGGAATCCTACCATGGAATGGGTTCAATGGATTCAATGGGCGCTTGCTCACCATTTCGCCTATGGAATGGGGGCCTGGAATCCCCTATCCACATGTGGCCCCCCGTCCGGTTCCCCTGTCCTTGGGCATCGCCACGGATGTGGAAGGCCTTGCTCTTCTTGGCCACGCCCGTGGAGACGGACGGTGCCGAAGGGAGAAGGGGACGGGTGCCGAGATGTGACGTGAAGTGACTTTGAACGTTTTGAGCTTCAACTGGGGAGCTTTTTCACCCCAAACACTCCATGTAGAATTCAGTAAACCTGTTTTCAACGTTTGTCCACCTACCCCAGGGAATGGACTCCTGCTCCGTTTTGGGCGGAGTCAACGGCACCGTCCGGGGAAGCACCGGGACGTCGCAGTAGTAGCAAGGCCGCTACTAGGTGGAGGCCATTAGGGTGGAGGTCATTCCTACCACTACTAGTAGCAAGATGTAGCAAGAAGCTAATAATTACCAGCAGTTCCAACATGGGTGCTTTCCACCAATTTTAATGGGTGCCCCGCCCCTGTCACATCCACTCACTGGATGGGACTAAACACCACCCCCAACATGTGACTCCTGGGACGTTTTTCCCGAATGCGCGGAATGCGTAGCGAAGGGTTCTTGTTTAACTCTGGGGGTCTGGGGGTAGAGCCTTGTTCGCGACGTGTTGCCTCAGCCTTCGCAACCGTTGTCAACCGTCCGCAACCGTCCGCCGCCGTTCGCAGTAGAGCGCTAAGGCCGCTGCCATTGGGAGAAGCTTTTGGAGAGGGTTTGGCGTGGAAGCGTGATGTGTCAGATTCGTGTGAAATAGCGAGGAAATGTGTGGAAACATCAGATGTTGAAGTGTGGAGGATGAGTTCACTGCGCAGGCGCAGCGTTTTGTGAGATCGGCAGGTTTCTGCGCAGTTACATTGGGATTAGCGAGCCACAAGTGTGTCCGAGAGTGTCCTACAAGGGTGTCCCACAAGAGTGTCCTACAAGAGTGTTCCACAAGAGTGACAAACAAGAGTGTCCCGCAAGAGTGTCCCGCAAGGGTGTCCCACAAGAATGTCCGACAAGAGTGTCCTACAAGAGTGCTCCACAAGAGTGTCCTACAAGAGTGTCCCGCAAGAGTGTTCCGCAAGAGTGTCCCACAAGACAGTCCTGCAAGACAGTTCTGCAAGAGTGCCCCATGAGAGTGTCCGAAAATGGGTTTGGCCAGGTGTGTATGTTCAGCAGTCACATGTCGCAAATGCTTATGTACACAGAAGTCGCTGTGATAATTTTGCGTACTGGGCCTCCCCTCTCTTAATGGATAAAAATCGGCATATGTAACCATTCAAACGTAGTTGCGTTCGGGCTCGTGGGTTCCATCTTGTTTTTGCTAATATTGTTTGATCATGTTCTTTTTCGCTTGATGCGGAATATCTTCTGCAGAGGCTTCAGGTGGTTCCTTGTACTAGATAGTCGTAGCAGAGACCTTCATGGTCCCTGGAAAAAGCAACCATCAATCAATTGATTGAATCACTCTTTCCTTTTCGCTTTCCTTGAAGCAATCTTGAGTGGAATCGCGGTGTTTGTGAAGAACACATGCCACATGCTGCAATAAGTGGAAGATGTAACGCAATGTTTATTCTACCCACCGGGCAACACCCATGCCCACCGGGCACACGGTCTCCGGTCTGGCCCTGAGGCGCTTCTTCGGGGTATCCGGCGAAGCACGCCAAGCAGGTGGAGGGGCATAGACTCGGTGGCCGGAGCGTTCGGTCGCTGGGGGATGGACGGAGTCCATGAGGCTCGTTCAACGACGAGAAGGAGGGAATGGAGGACCACCTGGCAAACAATTGAGTAGTGGAGGGGGGTTCTTTGTTGTTGCCTTGCTCCTTTGAAGACAGTGAATTTCATTGATCTGATGCAAATTTCATCGATCTGCAGATGCAATTTGCTCACGAACGGTATAAGTTGGCGAGTGGTAGTGCTGCTTGACGAGGTGAAAAAACATCTACAGCAACAACAGTATTCAAGAGCCTGTGGTCCCGCCGCAATTTCACCCTCCTAAACCATCCTGTTTGGGTGTCCTGTCTGGACAGGGTTGTAGTGGGCTCACGTCACGCAGACGCTCGCTTGATTGGCCCGCAAAGAAGCCTCTGTCCGGAGCTTCAGTCAGTAGCTGTTTGAGATCCCAAGAAATAATCACTGCCAGCAGTCACAGGTGGGGGTGCCGAGCTTGGAGGTAGTTGGGGTGCCCGAACGTCACATCCACGAGCCCTAGATGGGACTCAAAACCATCCTGGCCTCCATGTGACTCTTGGTGATTGGCCTGTCAGTTTGGTCAAGGGATGAGACTCCAAAGAGGTCACGGGATGAGAAAGGTCACAGGTAGGAAGGCCTTCGGTTCGTTCGATGCGGCGATCGATGGCCCCAGTCTCTCAACGCGGCTATGTGGTGATCAAACGAAGCTATTCCGAGACCATCCAGTGACCCATGGGACTGGAATAGTTACCTACACTGGAGCTATATATATAATATAAATGGGGTACATGTATTATGTAACTCTTCCAGACATGGATGGTCTGGGATTCGCCACATCGATCATCGACCTATTCTTTTTAGGACACGACCGGTAAGACACGAACGGAAGCCAATGGGCGGCCAGCACGGCCAGGGCGGCCAGGGTACCGGTTAATGACCTGGAGTTGGTCATACAAAAAACACTAAGGAGATGTTCCCTTGACCAGGTTTTGGAGCTGGGTCAAACTAGACTTGTAGGGATGACGAGAAAAACAAACCATGAAGATGGCTGATTCAAACTGCACTTTGTAGTTCCCCATCTGCCAAGTGAGGGTTGTTAGATTTTATCAGAGCTCTTCTCCTCTTCTAAGTCTCATGAAAGCTACGATAATTAGGGGCTCCTGGCCTTACTAGGAGCGATCGGATGCTACGAACGAAGCTCCTGGCCGTAGCAAGAAGCTAGTGGCTCCCAGGGCTGTCGACTCCCATGGGAAGATGCCACCGGACGGCGCCAGTGCGGGAGCCGAAGTCGTGATGGCGATCCGCCGAACGCATCGGAGGGGGTGAGGGATCGGGATCTTAGACCCGAATGGAACACCCACAGCAACAGGCATGACTCACATTGGCATTCAAAGCCATGTCACAGGCACAATTTCAATCTACTGTCCGGACGCCCAACAAACCGAACCATCCGTGAGACCATCCGTGTTCCGTCGGACGCTCGTCGGCCATGGGGCATTGGGAACGGGATGAGGGGCATGTCGGGATGTGTGAACGGGCCATGGTGGGCCTTCACCCAAGAGAACAAAGACACGAGGCGAGGTGGGTCGAATTCCCGTCCACCTGGGGCCCGACCCGTCCACCATGTATCTTGATCTGATGTCGGTAGGTCAACCGGTCGAGGTAGGTGCTGAGGTGTGATGTGATGCTCAGACGCATTGTGCTACATTGTATCCAGGTCACTAGGTTTGGCAAGAACTCTTACAGCAATGGAGTAGCTTCTGAGAAGATTGATGAATCGTTTGACCATCCCAGCTATGGAGTAGCTTCTGTTCACATCACCTTTTTGTGCCCAGACCACTCTGTCTCGTTTTGGGAGACCGCTCCTGTGCTCTCGTGGTGGTCTGCCACCAGGTGGTCTGCTATGAAGGCGACCTTACGGCCTCCCTTGCGGCTGGTGACCGGTGGAAAGAAGTGCCGAAGAGGAGAGGACGAGACAGAAAAGACACCTGCGGAGCTGCGGACCTTGTTTCTAGATTCTGCGAGGGTGGAGAAACACCCAGGATATGTCATGGGGGTGTCTTAATAGGGAGACCCCAACGACCCCAACCAAGAGGCGTTGGTCTATTGTCCTTCTTCCAAAAAAGAACTGACACTATCACTACCAGAGAGTTGCCAACGTGCCGGACTACAAAACCTGCTTAGACTCCAGAGAACTATCAGAAAGAAGGCCACATGCGGAATTCACAGGATTTCAGCGAATGAACAGGGGTTTCTTTTCAAGGACTGCCCCGCAGACGCGCCACCGCCGCGGTCGCGCCACCGCCGCGGCCGGGCCTTTCGGGACGGCATCCGACAGGGCCAGCGGCTTCGTCCGGGGTGCCACGGGATACACCACCCGTGGCAGGGTAGCTACCCAGACGAAGGGGACTTGGCAGTGACCAGACGGTTTTTCCCAGATGGTTTTTCGTATGTGTTCACCCTTATCAGAGTACGGTTTTCATGTAGCGCTTCTCTGGACTCTTGAGCGACCCGGGCGGCGCGGCGTGGCGACTGGGCAGAGCGGCATGGCGACTGGGCTGTGACTCTGGGTGGCGACTGAGGAGACTAGACAAGCGCTGAAGCAACATTGGCTCACAATGAAGTCCACTGTGCAAACAGTTTGCCTTTGCTGCTCATTTGTCGTTGTACTTCACACTTTCACTGGAAAACCATGCATGGTGTACCTTGAACAATAACATATTGCAAGAAGCAAAACACACAATATGAAATGAAGAGCCCAAGTAGAACGCCATCGAAAATCAAATGCTAGGATGTTGTGTTCATCAAACTTAAATGAATATATAAATAGTTTTAATTGAGTGACCCTCAACTACCGCGACCATGAGCCGGGGGTCTTCATTTTCCTCTTAAGACAAGGAACCAATCAGAATCCTTCATTTGCAAGTCAACCATCTGAAAAAGACTCGTCCTACTGAACCTTGCTAGCCACTTGTGTGTGGCATCTCCTCCGCGCCTCCAATGCAGCCCTGGGCCTCCCTTTCAGGCGGTCTACCCCAAACCGGTGCGTCGATCTGTTTGGGCTTGCTTTCGGAAGGAGGAACCATGGGACCTTGGGGCCGGTTTTTCATTTTCTCGATGAATTCTGAGGTGCGACCTTGGGTTTGCGGTTCCTGACAGCGGCCGTCCAAGTCCGAAGAACGCTTTTGTCCAAGTCTCCACGCGGCCGCTGACCGGTTGCGCAGTGCCTGTGCACTGTGCTGGCCGTCCTGATCATCCACCGGGTGAACGACGGAAGCGGACGCGGTCGTTCTGTACCAAGCGCCCAACAACATACTGTATGCAGATATGCTCTTATCTGGGTGGTTTCAGATACCACTCCCTGGAACTAACATGGTCCACGTGGAAAACCACCTGTTTGTAGTGGATTTCATGATCCTCCAACAAACCATTCTCATGTGAGTTCCAAGGAGTGTATGTTGATGTTCAACCCTTTGCTTGGGATGATGATTGAACCCACGAAGATCTTGCAAGTGAGTTGAATCCACCCAGGAAAAGCCATCAAAACAGGGGTCCCAGACTGTTTGGGTTCTAGGTTCGGTGTTGCCCGCCTATGGCGGACTGGTCGCATCGACTGGGTCGACTGGGTCAGTCGACCTAGCAGGTAGCAGGTCTTCATGGTAGCAGCAGGCGAATGGTAGCAGGTTGCTGGTGGCACAGCAAGAGGTCTGACCTCTCAGTTCCACTCATTCATGTGGCTTTTTCACTTTGGTCCTGGTGAACTTTGAAGCTTCCAAGCTTCACGGCACCCCATGCTCAGGATAGTTGTTGAGAGGACTTCTTGAATCTTCTTGAATCTCTAGTCTGTTTGAGGTTCACTGCAAGTCATTATCATCCCTGACTCCAGGTAGCTATGGGCCATCCACATGGAAGGCTGAACCCTTGTCGCAGGTGGGGAGAACAGTCGCGTAGAGTTGGATCTCTCAAGAGCTAGACACCTGGCGCGACACCCCGTTGCAAAAGAGAAGCAACAAAAAAGGTCCTCAGCAACATGTTTTCTGTTTTCCTCATGTGACTCATCTGGTGATATGTTCACTTCTACTTCAGAGCTGGAGTCTTTGACGATGGACGTCGATGGACAACAATCGGAAAAGAACGAGCTTCGGTCGGGAGAAACAACGGGCGTTTGGGCAACCTGAGTTTGTGACGAAGCGTTTTCTCCAGATGAAGGTTTCTGACGTTGGGCCAACTGAATGCTGTCAAGCATGTCACTGGTTGGAGTCGATGAACGACAACAGTTGGGGAACTTGTCGATGCCGCCCATGGTCCAACTCAAGTCTCCCCCCCAAAAAACACGACGCTCCTCCACCGACGCTCCCTTACATCACAGACACGGGCTTCACCAAGCGCAAGAGAACTTCCCAAGCCCTAGGGATCCACAGGCACCCTTTGAGGTATGGGCTTCTGTCTACACTGAGACGACGTCGCGTCGTACCGTCGTACCGAAGCGAAACAGCTCAAAGAGCTGTGTGCGGCCCGCTAACCCTTCGACGGACGCGACGCTACGCCCGGGTCAGCGGACTGCGTCCGGTCGAACGATCGATGTATAGGTCCTACAAGCTTTGCAGACCACGTGACTGGGCAGACACAACGACGCCGGGTTTGCGTCGTGACTGTCCGCGGGTTGAGAGACGTGACATGCGGAACACCACTACTCCGTCCGGGCTGCAGTCAAAGGCCAGGGGTGGTTGAAAAGGGACATGACATAGGCATACAGACCAGTCCCATGTCCCATCGTGTTTGGGTATACCAGTCTTCTTGGGAGCCGAGCCTTATGACACTTGCACTGGATGGAATAGTTCTTGGCAGAACCAATGAGTTTTTTCTGGTCCCTTCGCAGAAGAGGCATGAAGACTGGCTTCCTTGAGGCAGAAGATTTGGCCAAATAAGGCATCCGCCCCAGAGATTGTGTGCAATCGTATATTCTGCATATGCTGCATATCTTAAAATTGTTGAGGTCTAACTTTATTAATTACCATATCTACTAGTGGACATGGCTTTTTTGGAAGTGTTCCGGGTTAACTGGCTGGAAGATGTTAGACTGTTATAGAGAGTGAAGTGAAGGCTGGGTTTGGTAGTCACCACTGTTTGGACGCGCGTTCACGACAGTCAATTGAACAACCCCCGATGGCCATCCATGGGACTGGAATAGTTATACAAAAAATATATATATATATATACAAAAACATTGGTTTGTCCTATTACTGTTACTGGTAATACATACATGAAAACCACATGAACATGACCCATCCATTTGATTCACTTATTCCAGTCCCATTCGTCGTCTGGCCATCAAAACTACTGTCCTAAAGAATCCAAGCAGCTTGATCGCACTGCGGCCCCAGAACAGGCGAAACTTACTGTAGCTCTGAGGGCAAGATTTAGATCTTGTCGAAACTAACACTTAGAGAAATAAAACAAACAGCTTTTAATATTCCTTGTTCACATTATTAATGTGTTGTTTTTGTTGTTTTTCGTGCCCAGAGAAAGCCTGCAACGGCCGTACGGGCTCAATGGCCGAGGCAAGGACAGCTGAGTCTTTTGACCAAGAGACTGAGCATGCTTCGAGAAGAACATGAGGCCACGCGTTTTTCAGCGGATGAGGTTTGGAGGAACTCAGGGATGGCCACACTCTCACGCAGTTCCAATTGCTCAGTTCCAATGCACACCATCAATAAACAACAACTCCATAGCCACCATGATGACATCTAAGAGTCGTCAGTGAAACACCACTGACTTCGGTACTTTGTTACATAGAAAGGCTATGAAAGGCTCCAAAGCAATGAGACATGTAGATAATTGTCGTTTTTGCTGCAGAATTCATTCCCTCTCATTGACCAAGACTGGCCGCGTTCTGCTAAAGTCTGGTGCTCGTTTTTACGCGGTGGACGGAGTACCCATCCTCGGCCCAGGTCATCACGGGACTGGAAAAGTTACTTACATGAGGGTCATAAATGGGTAAATGAAATGAAATGTAACTATTCCAGTCCCATGGTCTGGGAATAAATTGTGTTCAGTCGATAGGTCGCCCATATAATCCGCTCAAAGCAACCAGAAATCAATCAGATGATACCCCTGCAATAGAGCCATGGATCTTCCGCAATATGGGGACAAGCTCCATACCGCTCCATAGTGCCGGTGTTTCCAGTGGTCGTAGAATGCAGGTCGAGTCTTGCTACGATGCAGCTTTCTGCAACTGCAAGGTGCAGCAATTAGATGGTGTCATTGTCTTGCCCGGCGGATCCCAGTGACCACTGTCACTATAAGGAACCAGGGTTTTCTTCGGTCTACAGTTTGAGTCGAAATGGAACCACTGGTGACCGAGCCTGGCGAACCTGCCAACAAGGCTGAACCCCACCGTCTCTCCGAACCAAACCGTGACCAACGGCGCAGCGTATTCAGGCCCTTTGCGACTGTTTGGCGTTTCACGGTGCCGTCCCAGCAGAGAGGCGAGCGGGTCGTTGTCCTCAACCAGACCAGGGCGTTTTCAGGTTCTATGTGAGTCTGCACGGGTGTGTTCAATTGGCTAATTAGCTCGTCTTCAGCCCGAAAACGAAGCTGCATGAAGCTGTTTCGATTCAGCCAGGGAATCGTCGGGTATCGAGAGACCAGGGAATTGGGGTATCTCTTGCATGCCCCTGGTTGTTTAAATGTGCTTGAGGGCAACAGACACAAGATGTATAGTATTATACTGGCACTTGCACTACTTTTATATACGAATATTACATCTAATTACACTCCTGCTTTGCTCCCTAACATGGAAGCGGAAAACCTCTGATTGAAAAGGACAACTCGTCTTCCAAGGAAGCATGTTCATTCATGTTCCACGTAACCACTTTGATGTGTTCGTCGTGTACTCACACTCTCCGAACGAACGTGCGGTCGAATCGGTTTGTTCGTACCTTGGAAATCGGTAGCCGAAAACCATGCCTCTCCCACCCCAGGAAAAGTATAGATATAACGTGTGAATACGTGTTATATAATTAAGACGTTTTTAGGGATTGGTTTCCCCACTATATAGTACGTAACCTTTATTTTCCAGGCATCTCCGGCTCGGGAGTCAGCGGTTCTATAGGACCATGTCCCCATATTCGGAGGTACGAACGACGTCCAGATCCCAGGTGTTTCATTAAATCGGACCATCCCCAGCTTCGGTCCGCGTAGCCCAGCTTCACTGTGGATGTGAAACACTCGGATGAAACATACCTTTGTCTACCCTACCCTACCGGCGACCCTGGTAGGGTTCAACATCCTGAACCACAAAAACTCAGAAACACTAAATCGGTTCATCGATCATTCTTGCAATATCTTTGTTCACTAATACCATCGGACATGTCTTCATTGTTCAGCTCCCCTCAAAGATCTCTAAAACTCGCGCATGCTCGCCTCCGCCTCGTCGACCCTCCGCACCGGCGCCAGGCTTTTGGCCTGGATGCACCGACGGCGCTTCGCAGAGGCTCGGAGGAGGCACCCGGTGGCGTCCGGGAGACCCGGGGACCGTACCGGAAGGTGGGGGGGACCGTACCCCGCAGTGGGTTCAAGGGGAATTGAAGGGTGGGCTGGGTTCAAGGGAGGTTCTTTCGACTGCAATTGGAGGGTGGTGGGATTTGGCATGATTGTTTTAACTAGATGGGGCGGTGTATAGTTTGCTTCGGGGGAATGCACCTTAGTGATGAAACGCACTGAGATCTAGCACGATCAAGCTGAGTAAAAGATCAGTTCTGTTGTTTCCCACGAATTCTCCTATTTTTGTGTGGAGGCTTAGACACGCTACGGCGCTGCTTTTTTCACGAGGGCATCCGTCCATATGCGTCCCGCCAGCTTTGGAGCCCCTTCTTGGTGTCACAGAAGGCCCCTTGAAGTTGATCCTGGTTTGAAACGTAGAAGATGGAGTGACAGAGCAGTTAAACATACTTCTATGGTTTAGATACATCTCCTCACACCAGAATGGTTTACATCTCCATAATTTGGAAGGTTTTTCCAATCAACAGTCCACATTGGCTGTGTTTCCAGCTAACTTGCCGGCGCCAAGTGTAAACTTGTAAGCCAGCCGAAACTACCACAAGAAGCCTGCTGCTCGAATTTGACTTCCCAGAATGTCAGGTGTGATCTTAGAAAGTACGGTATAGTGTTGGCCGCTTTCCATCCAGTTGGTGCATGCCGAGTTTTGTCTTGCAGACTCAGGTGCCATGAAACTTTGGAATCCTTGATGCAGGCGAAGGTGGCATGTTTCAGGGTGCAAGGGACCACCGATTTGACGTTTGGTGAGTGCCAACTCAAGGTTTGTACTCATTTGACCACGACATACCACGACTGTTAGCGAGATCTCCACGAATTTGCACTCAAATCCTGATACTTTTTGGTTGAAGACTCTGGTATCTTGCGTGGCAAGAGCTCACAAAATCTCTCGCGACCGAGTCTCGCGGAGAGTCACGTTGTTTCCTTCTTTGCAGGAAGCTCTTTTCCATTCTGAAACCACCGGGAAACAACCCGATCCAAACCATAGAATTGGTGAACACCCTCGCATGCAGCGTGCTGCATGTTTGCTCACGGAAATCGGTGGGGAACTCCAGCGAGGCCAACACCAGGCCACCTGGTGTCGCGCCACCTGGAGCTGCGAGATGACATAGTTCAGCTATAGCCGTTTGAATCCGCACCCAATGCAGAAAGGGTTTTGAGGGCTATTCCAATTCAACATACTGTTTGAAGACCGTTCCAAAGTTTGCAGGCCTAGGTCGCTTTTCACAATTTTTTCACCAATCCGTTATTGCTTGCGCTGTTTTTCCAAGTAGCTCATCCTCAACATAAGAAGATTCCAAAAGTGCTCCAGCTTAAGAGTTTCCAAACACTTCAAAGTGCAGCTCACCCACACTTTTCAGCGACAACTTGGTCGCTCACCCACTCGAGGAGTTGGCCCTCGACTTGGCGGTTCGTTTGGGCTTGGAGGTTTGCACCACCTTGAGCCGCTTGGGCCGCTCTTGAGAGGGTTCTACCGCCGGGCAGTGGGGTTCTGGGTGGTGGGGGGTGGGTGGTGGTTTCACCATGTTTCAGAATGATTCGTCTACTTTTACTGGGGTTGAGGGAGAAACCACTTGAGTGCTCCCTTTCAACGAGGCGAACGAGGTGTCTTGCGACCCGCCGTTCGAACGGTTTTTTGTTCTTTCGTGCAGCGGACCGATGAAGAGATGAGAACTGCCCTGCCAACGAAGCGGACCGATGAAGAGATGAGAACTGCCCTGCCAACGAACTACCCGACGTTCGATGAATTGAGAGGAGGAAGAAGACATATACATTGAAAACGGCAGACCCATTCGTAGGCACCATCAACACCAACGTGATCCCGAACACCAGTGAAGATGTGAGACATGCACCTTCCGTACACCAAACCGCTATCAGGCGAGGCGAGAAAACTCGAGGGGTTCTGCCTGATGTTTCTTGGCCCTCTTTGGGTCCGAGGTTTCTTCGGTTTTGGGGGGGCCGAGGTTAGGCCTCAACACCTCGTGACCAAACCGAAGTGAGTGACCAAATCTCCAGGCCACGTTCGTAACCTTTTTGAAGTAACCTAGTGTTCTTTAAATCATCCCAGAGTTTCTTTGGAATTGGGAGGGCCGCCTGACTCAAATGGTCCAAAGTTAGAACTTCCTCTGCGATTTGCCTACCAGCTGCGCCATGTGTGGACATTTGATTGCTGCAGCCCAGGTGGTGCGTCTCGCGGGCTTCGAAGCTCCTTGTCCTCGCTGGGCCCCGAACTCGCAACTGGGCATGGATCGAAAAGGGAAGCTATTTGAGGTGTTGGGAAAAGGGTGAGTTGTCCATCCGAAACTGGTATATTCAACTACATTGACCCCTTTTCAACCACCCCAATGTAGGTATATGTTCGAACTGTCCGACACTGTCCAGTCGCCTTATAAACCATGATACAAGTTTTGATTTGGGTGACTCTTTGTGCTGGTGAGAACAGGTGTAACTCAAGGACGCTTTTTTTGTCCCTGGCGGCTTGGGTCAATCTTCAAATTGTTTGGTGAGCTTTGAACAAACAAACAATAATTGAAGGTTTTACATGTTAAAATATGCAATTTGAGTCTCTGAAGGTGTGAAAAGATCAACATTATGCTTGACAAACAAGCCCTCTCACAACCATGTTGATTGAAACTTGATACATTCAAATAATTTCGGCCTGCCAACGTGTTCTGCATCCACATCAACAATAGAGCTTTCTAGCGACGCGACTAGAAGCTTCCTTGGGAATCGTTTCACTGGGAATCATTTCACCCGCAGTAACAATAAAGCTTACTATGTCTTTGAAGCTTCTTAGTAACTAGAAGCTACTAGGTGGAGGCCATCGCTATTAGGTTGGAGGCCATCGCTGCTAGTAACAAGAAAGCCAGTTCAAGAACAGCACTTGAACTATGTCCTGCCCCGTGAAGGGCAGTGGCACAGAATAGTAAGCACAGTGACGCTTCCATATACGGACAGCAGGTGGCCATTCTTGTCAGCCTGCGAAAGCAATGGGCCCCACAAACATCTAAAAACTGTAAACCCTTTCTTCAAGATCAGATGAGTCTCCAAAGAACACCTGGATGCCCTGCTCCCCAAGAACAACGTCCTTCTTTTTGTGTGGCTCAATGCTCCGGGTTCAGATCCACACCCGCCGTGTGTTTCACATGGCTGTCTCACCATGTTTCACATTGTTTTCACCATGTCTTTGTTCAGTGGTCCGTTTGCATGCACGCCTGGTAATTCGTCAATTCAAGCGGAATGTTTGTTTCGCCCCCCAAATGTAAACATGTTGTTTGCATTGTCAACACAGCAAAGGACACCCTCTTTTTTCACCCCAGAACGATCATTTCCACAGTTGCCAGACTCTCCATGAGACTGCTCTACATTCTGGTGGTTGAAAAGGGATCAATGAAAACCCAGAGGAACCTCCTTTGAGGTCTACCAGTCCCATTGGTGCACGGTTTCAGTCTCCAGGTCTACCAGTCCCGCTCGTGTTTGGGGGGTTTTCACCTCTCCAACGGTGAACATGACCGAGTCGCAACGGTACCCGAGGCCAACCTGTTCCCGTTCCAACTCTTCGCGATCGGCGGGGAGGCGGAGGGGGGGCGAGATGGAGGGCGAGATGCGGAAGGGAATCATGCCAAGCAAGTAGGAGTCTTACCAACAGTACGCCAACAGTATTGGTATAGTTGGCTTAACTTAGTAGTGGGCATGGTCATTGTTGGAGCATTAAGTTATTCTCAATAGTAATGGGCAACTTAATATGTAATGTGCAATATTAATAGTTTATATGCAATATATTGTGGACTTCCAATGATAGATCGAAGAGGGGGAGCATGTCAAGCAAGTGAGGACGGGAATGCATTAGAATAATGTATGATACATTTTGAGACATGCTTGGCAGACCAAAAAGAGGATGGATGCCCATGGTAGTGATGGAATGCGCGCTCCCAGCACTTTAGATGCAATTCATAATTGCAAGCGTTTGATTCTGTTGTGAGTTGCTTGAAACGGATGGACGTGATCCTTTTACTTTCAAAACAGTCGGAATCTGCATGTTCCAAACGCACGCCGATTCGCTCCAAGCCGCTCCAAGCCATCACTTCGCCAGGCCTGTGGCGATGCACTCAGCTCTGTCAGGGCTCTAGTGAATGCGGAGGACGGGGGATCCAGACCGGAAGCTTGCCCTTTTGTTTTTATGTGTTTTGCTATTGATCAATAGTGATAAGTGGCAATGTATCTCGCTCAAAATATATCAAAAGAAACGGTTTTATCATGCAATGCAGTGGTTTCTTCAAGGTTTTGAAAGTCCCTGCGGCGCAGAGCACCTGCTGCATGTTCCGAGATAGCATCACTTGACAAGCTTCCTTTGTTTGAGACCTGACACTGCGAATCCAAGTAAACACAGCAGGCTGTTCCACAATTTGTCAACTACTCATGACTACTCTTACTTGTTTGAAAGAAAGGGACCGGCAAAAAGCACACACACACACACACCACAAACATACATATATATATATATATTGGCTCGCATGACCTGGACATATAATCTTCAAAACCTTCTCATTTGAAGTGATACTGGTCGCTTTCAAGGCATTTTAGGGACCTAGGACCTCTGTACTCACCAGTGGGCAGTTCAACATAGTTCAAGTGTGCTTCACGAGTCAAAACGAGTGCTATGTCTTGCGTCCTCCAGCTGAGCCAAAAAAAACCACCTGCCCCAAATGCCCGACCTTCCCGCTATTCACGCACCAGGTAGAGCGCTTCAATTTGTCCCAGAACTCCTGGGAGACGCTGGAGCCCTTGCGAACGCCCAGGACCGACCGGAAAAAGGCGGCGGAAAAAGGCGGTGGGACAAAGAGCTAAAGCAATCAAAAGCACAGCGTGAAAGCGGTTGGGACGGAATTGGGAGGGTGCAGATCTACCCTAAAGATCCTTAAAGCAATAATTAATGTGCATCTTGATGAACAAAGCCCACCCATTGTGATTGCAAAAACCTCTTCACATGGCGGAGGGTATGAATCAAGATTCTACATTGCCCTGCAGATTTTTCCAGGGTACCAGAAACTGCTCAAGTTGCAAAAGACACCTCATGGCACTTTGGCACGGGTGCTATGATTACAAGGAGAAGCACTCCGACTACGGACCGTTTATTCGTGGTGCCCACTGGATTCTCGGTTTATTTTCCTCTGGAGTAATGGGTTCGTTGGTGACCCTAAACGGACCTACAGCAGTTTTTGTCTTTGTTTTGGAGGGAGCTCCTTCTTGATTGGGGAAGGATAGGGATTTCATTAGCTTGATCCAGAACCACCCAAAGCAAAGGCCAACTATATTGGATCGTACACCATGGTGAACCTAGTACCTGGCGCTTTTGTTCGGTGTCCAATCGAGACCTATATGTGTGTAACGGCAGTTTGTTGGTGACCGGAAGCTGGTAGATGTGGTCTATCCAGAGCTTCCGTTTTGACTCCTGGAAAAAACTGGTAGTTATGATCCACCAGTTGTTCAGTCAAAAGAGTCATTTTGCACTTCCAGGCTATAAACCTCAGAATCTAACTTATATTTACTTAAACCACCCTTTTGGGTGGTGCGGCTTTTCCTTTTCGGCCCACGCTTCGCAGCTTGCATGCCCACGTTTTTCCAGGAGTGGCTGTGCAGCCGTGGCCCTGGGAGGCTATGTCTACGCGGTGGGTGGCTGTGGCACCTCGGCTCCAAGAGCTTTTCGGCGTGGTGCCTTATCGTCGGCGTGGACTCGGGCTGAGGAGTCCGGAGTCTTTCAGAATCGAACTGTTAATTCTTCACAGATACTTCAGCAACCGCACCATTTCGCCAGCCGAAACGGAATCTGACCTGAAAAGGCTGGGTCAATGTCTTGTGTCTTGGATTCCTCTCTGCACTTGGTTCGGAACTGAACCACTGATGTCACATACGCGGTGCCTTATTTAATTATTCCAGGTACACCCGTGAGTTCACGGAATATGTGTTTTTACGAATATGTTTTTAGGACTAATTTTTAAGGGTGTACCGCCGTACCCTCATGAAGATCGTGCTTGTCTCTGGTGGTATACGTCGTCACCCTGCTACTTTAGACAGGGGCGAGTCATGGCGATTCAACAACAGGCAGAACGCAAGACACCACACTGAACGACCAGGCAGAAAAGTAGCTACCACACAAAAACCAGGCAGAAATTAGCCGCCACACCACAAACTTTGCAGGAAAGTGGCCACCACACAAAAAACTTTGCAGGAAAGTAGTCGCCACATTGAAAAAACGCAGAAAAGTAGCCACCACACCAAAACCAGGCAGAAAAGTAGCCACCACACCAAAACCATGCAGGAAAGTAGCAACCACACCAACCAAAAACAAGGCAGGAAAGCAACCACCACACCAAAAACCAGGCAGTAAACTAGCCACGACACAATCAACCAGGCAGGAAAGTTCACAACCAGGCTACCACACTCAAAAACATAGAAGGAAAGTACGTATAACCTGAGCTTAGGTGAAGTGGCTAGGTTCCTGCTTGGGTGTTGGTCCCTGCTTGGTTTTGGTGGTTTTGTGCGGGTGGGCATGGAAACAAGGGGCCCAAATATGATTCCAGTAGGTCCCCCAAAACTGTTGAGTTGTCAGGGTACCCCAGAATAATTATGCACCCAGTGGTCCGCGGCAAGTTCTGTTGATTCCTCGTCACCGCTGGCCGCCACACCAAACACTTGGCAGGAAAGCAGCCACCACATTGAAAAACCCTGCCACCACACAAAAAAACAGGCAGGAAAGTAGCCACCACACCAAAAGCCAGGCAGGAAAGTCGCCACCGCTGAAAAAGAAACCTGCCACCACAAAAAACTTGGCAAGAAAGTGGCCACCACACCCAAAACCAGTAGGAAAGTAACCATCTCAAACTCCACTAAAACACAGGAAAGTAGCCACCACACCAAAAACGTGGCAATTAAAAAACAGTGATACAGATTGATGGGGACAAAGCGGTGAAAGTCAAAGTTCATGGCAGCTTTGCCTTTGACTTGCGCTTGGATTGCATCTCCTTTGAATTGGTTCCTCTCAACGACTTTCACTCTCCCACGGCCCAGCCACATGTAATTAACCTGTTGTTCAGACCTCTTGGATTTAAACGTGCTGCACTGCATTGCAATGGTTCCAAACAACTCACCACGGTCGGATAATCATTTCACGGTCGGTGAGGTCGAGGTTTTTAGCGGAAGTTTTTGATCGTTCTTCTGGGGTACCCTTGACGGTGGTGCTCGCGTCGCAGGCACGGGCGCACTGATGTCACCACCTAACACGCGCATCCCAGTCCGATGTTTTTTTTTTCCAACTGACCCGTTTTGCTTAAGGTGATTTTCCCACATTATAGGTTTGTAATTGATCCCCTTCTGGTGAAGAGCCTTTACTTTTTCCAGGTTCCTCAAGCAAACCCAAATACGTTGCTTCTGTTCATGATTTCTCCTCCGCTTGCAACCAAGCATGTCACATGTCGGAGTCCGTGGGTCTTCTTGCATGGTCCCATGGCGCCATGCCATGGGTTTGTCGAACCCTCCTCCACTCCCATTCGGTCCGCACGATCGATCGGGTCCCAGGTATCGATGGAGAAGACCTCCGATCGGTGGAGAGGCGACGGCTCCGGATCCGGTGGAGGGGCCGGGCCGCGCGGGCGGTGAGGAACGGAGCTCATGAAAGACTGGAGCCGGGAAGTCATGGAAAATCCAGTACTTAATGAGGTCAAGGATCCAGGTTTGACTTGGCATTTGGACTTGTAGGGGAAGGTCGATGATGGATGGTTGATGCAGTCAACTGTCTGGAGAACGGTCTGAGGTTGGTCGATTTCAGGTCGGGGGATTGGTCTGAAAATGGTCGAGACCATTGTACAACTCGACAGTTTGATTGGTTTGGGACAATTTTCTTGTAATTTGTTCTTCAAACTCTACAGATGAGATTGAGGACTGAACAGAATTTGGTTGAAAAGGGTCGGAAAGAAAGCATTTACACTGTGATTTGGGCAAAACTATTGATTATAGCATATTATATAACTATAGTTATAATTTTGTATTTATATATATATATTGATGTAGGCGTGTAAGCGTTAACATTGCGAAGTGTGAAGCCTTGAAATTGTGGTGTTCAGGGTGGTGTGCAGGGTGGTGCGCAAGAGGGGGGTCAAATTGACCCTTGAAAATTGGTGCTCAGAGGGGTGCGCAGGGGGGGGTCAGATTGAGCCTCAAAAACTGGTGCTCGGAGGGGTGCGCAGAGTGGTGCGCAGGGTGGTGCGCGGGGGGGGAGGTCAGATTGACCCTCAACAAGTTGTGCTCGAAGGGGTGCGCAGGGTGGTGGTCAGATTCATCTTTCAAACGTTGTGCAATTTGATGTGTTTTTTCAAGGTTTTTATGGGACTGGCCTTGCTTTTGAGGTGCTTTAAGGAGGTGGCCTTGCTTTTGTCTGCGCGATGAGGATGGAATCGCACCTGAAAGCAGATTCCGTGGCGGTGAAAACGCTTTTGCAAATTCAAAAACCAAATTTTGTGCCTGGAACAGCCAGTGGGGTATGCTTTACACAACTGCTTATTCAGGTGCCTGCCACATGCGCTTCCTGGACATCTTTTATTCATATCTGACACATGTGCTGTGTTAGGAGTTTCGCGCCAAATCATCATAAATATAATATGTATACGTTTGTTCTTTTCTGCGCGCCTTCAGTTCTGGCTTTCGGAGGTGTGTTCAAATTGGAGGTTGAAGTATTTTTTGGGCGTCTTGCTTTCGCGTGCGCGATCAGAATCGAACCACAGTTCAATAGTGTTTCTTAAACCATCTTGACAACGCGTCACCCTGAAAAACTATGTGTTTTCCATGTGATTATGTATGTGTGCTTCCAAGAAAACCATCCCTTCAAACCTGAACATCAACGGAAACCGTTGCGTTAACGCTTTCACGCCTACAGCAACGTACGTTTTGTTTAAAGCGTTTGTTGTACTGTCTGTTCACTAAGCAGCTTGAACTTTTGCGCTTTACCGTTCCCACCTTTCTGGCGAGGGCTTCCACACCTGTCTGTACTCAGATCTCCAGTTGATCTCCCGTGAAGCTAGCTTGAATTTTGCACTCCCGACTTACGTTATGGCCGCTTTGAACTGTCTGCCCATGTGAGGCCAGCTTTATCCGCGCAGCATGCATCATGTCGTTGTGCAACAGGAGCGACGTGCACTGTACTAAGCATTCGTGTTGATTGTATTCTGAGCTGATCTAGAATCTAGCTGCTGTCCAGGAACGTTTGATTGTTCTTGAAGTCTTGGAATTGCAATAGGACTGGGCCTGGTCATGACAAGCTGGGATTCTTGAAGATTGTGCTCACTGCAAAGTTGGGAGCCAGCGCCCCAGATCTTCCTGCTCAAATTTTTGTTTGGGGCAAGAAGATGTGAGTGGAATTCAATTAAGCGAGCAAGAGACATGGTGACTGAAAGCTCTAGCATGGGAGGCTCCCACGCCGTTTCCCCAGCCACGGGTTCAGGAAGGATGGTGCGGTAGAAACAAAAAGGAAGGCAGGGCAATGGGTTTGGAAGCCGCCTTTAAGGATGCATCGTTGGGTTGCAAGATTTCAACTGGGCCTTGTTTGAGCACATGTCCGACAAGATTTGCGTTACTCAGTCGCTGCTGATGGCACTTTCAATGGATTTCTAGACAGGCTTCCAAAGGCCTACAACATCATTATCACCACCATCGTTGTCATCATCCTCTTCATCTTCATCCTCATCATCGTCGTCATCATCATCAACGTCGTCATCGTCATCGCAACCCTCATTGTCATCATCGTGTTCATCGACATCACCATCGTCATCATCATCATTAGGATCATCACCGCAATCATCATCATATAGTCATAATCATCATCAACGTCATCGTCTTTGCCACCGTCACCGTCACCGCCATCATCGTCATCACCTTCGTCTAATGCGTTCTCACATTAGTCATCATCGTCATCGCCGTCACCATCATCGCCAGCGTCGTCGTTGTCATCGTAACCGTCGAAATGCATCATCGTCATCGTAAGCATCATCAACGTCATTGTCGTCTTCGTCATCCCCATCCTTGTCATCATCGTCTTCATCGTCTTCATCCACATCATCATCATCATCATCATCATCATCCGGATCATGATGATGAATCATCGTCGCGAATAGTGTTCAAAAAACAGACTTGGCACTGATACTGCGTTCATGTTGCCAGGGGTCATTCTGTCGCTAAGGCTAGGTCACGAAGGTCCAGCCGTTGAGAAGTGTAAAAAGAGACATCAGGTGCGAGCATTGCAAAGACCCTTTGCTCGAAGGCTGAGAAATCTGATGGTTACGCAGCAGAGATCGCCGTTGCTGAGTCGCCAACTGTTGGGTCTGGAGCCACAGACCGTATTGATGATGCTGCCTTCTCGGACATGTTCGCAGGGAGGTTTAGAAGAAAACAAAGGTGAGTCAGCTGGCGCGAGAGTTCAGCGGCTCCCTTCTCGATGAAATGAGCTGCAATGCTTCAGCACTGGGGGTGAAGCCTTGTGATTTTATATCCTTGGTATTCTCGGGAAGTTTTGCAACGAATTTTCCTTTGATTTTGTATGGCATGTACCAAGACACCCAAAAACAGAGACAGCAGCACAACGCATGGCGCATGTGTATGACATAGTTTGCGTGAACCATGGGGGACCAGACCTGCAGAGTAACCTACATTTTCTGGCGATGCCCACACTTGAGGGGAGCTTTTGACCCTGAGCATCAGCTATTGATTCTAATCAATAAGAAGCTATTGAAATTTTATTGAAAATTTCAATAGCCAAACTTATTGATATTACCAATAGATTGTTGATGAGCACTATTTGGAATTTGTATTGATTTTTGTAATTGATCTCCTATTGATTCCTTTATTGCTTTTTTTGCAGCCATCTACTCGCTCATATGTAGTTTCCAACCCTTGACAAGGGGGGGAACCCCTTGAGACGGATACTAAGAGAAGGAGAGCAGGACACTGTGGGAGTGCATTTTCGTATTTTTGTAACTTCTGTTTTCTGGTGTTGCTGCGTTGCTTTATTCGCTGATGACATGACGGATTGTGAAGTTGCAAATTTGCAAGGTTTTGCTGTCAGAATCATGTTCTGAAATGTGTTGCTCTTATTGGGCGCAGTTCAGTCAGCACATCAGAACCAGAAAAAGGGTTGCAAATCCTAAACGACCTAGTTCTAATTCAATTCTAATGGAAGAACTATTTTGATTAAACTTTAACTCTATTTCAACTATCATTTACTGCTACTTTGATTTTGATGAAACTCCCTATATAATATCCATTTCAATTTGTGGCCAATGCAAATCTAATTCTAATCTATCATTGTTCAATCTAAATCTAATTTTAGCTTTTTGTGGAAACCATAGAGTGCGTGCTGCTTTTACATGCATAGTGTTCATGTTCAAATTTGCATTAAACTGAACATTAATTACAAATACATTGAAAAGCATAAAAATCCATGAGCGCCGGCTATTGATTCTAATCAATAACATTGGAAGTTGTTGAACTGATATTGAATTTGAAATATTGATCTTCAATAACCGCAACAAAGTAAAACATCACAATATATTGATTTTTGCTTTTTTGGCTCAAGTGGGCTAGAGCTATGTGCAAACATCCCTTTTGACAAAAAGGGGATGTCACAAAAGGAAAAGGAAGAGAGAAGAAACACAAAAAGGAAAAGGCGCAGGAAAAGGAAAAGGACAAAAGGAAAAGGAAACAGGAAAAGAAAAAGGAAGAGGAAGACAACAGGAAAAGGCAAAAAAAAGGAAGAGGAAAAGGAAGAGGAAGAGGAAAAAAGGAAAAGGAAAAGGAAGAGGAAAAGGAAGGCAAAAAGAAAAGGAGAAGGAAGAGGAAACGGAAAAGGAACATCATTTTTGGGGGTGAAGGAAAGTAAGGAAGCAAAATCTAATGACTAAAACTGTGGACACATTTTTTTGGTGAGGAGAGTTGAGGAAACAAAATCTAATGACTAAAACTGTTGCCAAAACTTTTTGGGGTGAAGGAAAGTAAGGCAATAATATCTAATGACTAAAAATGTGGACAAAAACTTTGGTGAGGAGAGTTGAGGAAGCAAAATCTAATGACCAAAACTGTGGACAAAATTTGTGGGTGATTTGAATTGACAAAGAATTGAATTAGAACTAACTTCGGGATAGGTTAAAAATAGACTATACCCAAATTTGGCTTGAATCGGTTTTAACTAAGTTGAATCAAACTTTTTGCCGTGAAATTAGAATTAAAGTAGAATTGAGTTAGAATTGCTTAGCCCACAGCTTGGTTAAAATTAAACCAAATTTGATTTAGAATTAACATTCAATGGAAATTAACATACAATGACATTTACAGTACAACTACATTAGAATTGAGTTGAAGGTCAATTAGCATTGAATTAAAATCAACTTACAGATTGAAAGTAAAACTAAATTATAATCCAATTAGACTCAAGTTGGACTCAAGTTGTTTTTTAACGTGTTATTCAGTCTTGTACTTGGTTGAGGGTGTGAACACTTTGACAACAGATTGAATTGGAAACACCTTGGCAAAAGACCAAGATAAGTTTCACTCGAAATATCTTGAAGAGATTGCGTGAAAAGACATGAATCCCTTTTGATTCTGTAATTGATTTTGTTTTTGCTTTTATAGATAGAAAAGCATACAAAATTTATTGGTTTTCAATGTGGTTTCTCTATTGAAAATGTAGCCTTCCAAATCAATAAAAATAATTGATTTACTTTTTGCAAAATTAACATTTTTAGCTTATGGATTAGAATCCATAGCCGATGCTCAGGGGAGTTTTGAACGACGCGCGAAACAAGTGCGCGCAGTCAAGTATTTCGGTATGTGGAAAGCAAAACCTTCCGGATAGTTTGGGATGCTGGGATGGTCCCAAGGGTCCAGGGGCTTTTAAAATTTCTCAGACGCCATCCCAATGAAAGACTAAGTTCATCTTGCCCAGGTCGCACATGGTCAAGGACGTGCTCAAGAAGAACCTGCATGCTGACAAGGAAAACGCTGCTGACTAGCGATGAGGAGGTCATTTTGTTCTGTGATGTCGAATCCGCTGCCATGATGTCCTTTTTCCTCTCCAAGGGCCAGCAGCTTTCTTGCCAGCTGAAAAAGGTGTCCATGGACCAGGCAGCTCCCTTGCCTACATCGACAACACCATGAGCCCAGTCGATTTCTGGATCGGGCATCAGGCGACGCTGCCAGAAACCATCGTTTGCAAAGCAACGGTGCACCTAAGGAGCGTGTCCGCCAAGACAGAGAACGATGTGTTGAATGGCCGGAACCTTGCCACGCAAAAGCTTTACCTGCAAAAACATCGATGCCGACATTGCCAAGCGGATGCAGCAGCTGGTAGAGCTCAAGGATCAGCGAAAGCGGGTGCTGGATTTGGTGGTGGAAGGTGGCCAACAGAATTTGAAAAAGGCGAAAGCCGACCATGAGCAGACGTTGAATGAGGACGAGTCAGAAGCAGCAACGTCTAAGAGTGAGGACAGGACTATGAATGTGCCGAGTCCCTGAGAAGGCACCTTGAAGTGAGGCCCCGCGCATTGCTTTTGGCAGGAACTATGCAGTGCTGCCGTTTTGTGACGGAATGCTGCCCGGGCGAGATTTGTCTACCATAAATGACGTAGACTCATTTTTCATACAGAGTTATCAGCCGACAAAGATAGAAGAGCCGGAAAAATAGAGAAACTTGCGTTCATTTTCTTCAACTGCGCACGGGGGACCAAGATGGGGCATCGATGCTTCTCCTGTGCATTATAACAGATAGTTTTGAGACGGCGGAGTGAGTTGAATGACCATCGACTTGTGTCGAACAGAGGATTTTGCCAGCGAAGCAAGTATGGGTTTGAGTGCTTAGACAATTGAGCCATGTGCAAGATTTCGATGATTCATAGCGTCGTAGCATTTGTCCAGGCCATCACTCCAGTGATTTGTCGCGCATGACTGTGACGTACTCCTTGCTCAGAGCATCGCCCTGTTGCAGGATTCACAGAACCAGCCGTCCTCAGCGAAAAACGAAAACGCCATAAGTAACAAATCACAGTCCATGACGTTCCATACTTTCAACCAGACCAATCTCATAAATCCGCAGCCCATGATTCTGCTTGAATCGCTCTGACTACGGTTCGCCAAGTTGCTGATCAAGCGATTGCCAAGCCACTTGCCTTCGTCTGGGGATGAGGATGAAGTGCTAAGACATTACATCATACAAATTGGTCATCGGAAAGACAAGAAAGCGGCACTTTTGTGAGATGGTACAGAGCTCAAGGACGCTACAATGAACTGAGTCTTTGAGAGGTGGTACAGATCTGTGAGGTATGTTGCATCTGGATCAAACAGTACTGGCTTGTAGACAGGAATGCGTTTGAACTCAACTGATGCTGCCCCCTAAGCAGTGTGGTCTGGATTTCTTTACCGTTCGTACGCTGATGATGGCCAAGCTCCCAGGGGCCTATCAAACACATGAAAGCAAAATTGAGCAATGCCTCCTTTCTTTTTGCAATTCCCTTTTCTGAGCCTGTTCTGGCACGTTTGTCTGACTAGTTGGCTAGCTACCTTCTAGCGTCCAACTCTCCTGCTACCTCTCCTACTACTCAAATAATCCTCTATCTCTCCCTCGCCGGAAAAGAAGAGAGAAGAGGAACGTTTTTGAATCCTATCCAAATTTTCAAAGAAAAATGGAACGCAACGATGCAAATCTTTGACCATTGGTGAAGGCCATGGGCCTCACTTTGGATGGTGAGAGCTATACGGTAGCGGCGATTCCTTGCGCTACGGGGCGAGAGTTCTCCCCACTGTGGTCGCTGCAATACGTTTCGCTGGATGTTCTAAATACGACTATGTGTAGCTCTTCAGTGCATTGCCACCGAGTGAAGGTGGGACGGCTGGCTTAGTTTTTCAATCGCGCCGAGAAAATGCAGCACCGCTGAGTGTCGCTGAGTGGGACTGGTGGATTCCAGATATGCTTTGATTGTTTTGGGATCTTGGATTCGGGCCAAAAATGAGGAAACCCGCCAAGGACCAGCGCAAACAAATTGAAGGCAAGGCCTCAACTACCTCTGATCTGTTGTTGATGTTTGTGTACCGTATCCGGTGTTTATGCCACGTCTCTCCACGTTCGCTGTAGGATTTCATTTGCTTGTTCGGAGGCAATGCTATGTCAATGCCCGTAGTGGGCTCCACGTTGTTCGCGGTCCTCTGCTTCGGGCCCTTTGGGGAGATGTGTCTTCCTACGCTGCCATTGCGTCTTCCTACGCCGTCCTCTCAAGGCTTTGCCCGGAAATGAGTCTTCAAATGACGATGAGGATGTGAGCGATTGCGAGGAGGGCTAGCCAAACCAGCCGTACTGGCCAGACTGCAGAACTGAAGAAAAAGGAGAGATTGAGAATTCACGATGGATGTGGGATTGGGGTCCCATGTGACTTTTAATGACGTGGGATTTTCATAATGACAATTTGGTGACTGAACAGTGGTTGCATGCACAATCGGGGGTGCTCAGAGGGGTGTTTGAAGTGGTGCGCAGAGTGGTGCGCACGCACCACTCTAAGCACCAGGCTGCGCTCCACCCTGGGCGCCGCCTCAAACACTGGGTTGCGCGCCGCAAAGCCAGCTGACGTTAACGCTTGCACGCCGTCTTCAAAAAGTATATATAGTTATATATATATGTAAAAGGGCAACACTTCTGCAATCGTGCCACCAAGACTACCTATTTATATATATATATATAAATGCAATAAAGTGTTCACTACATGGATCGTCTGGGCACTATGCATAAGACCTAGGAAGCAGCGTGCCTCTACAATAACACGAATCAATGCTTGCAAAAAAATATTGCAGTGCCTGCAGCACAAGACTTTCTTTATTATGCTTGCCACCTGTTCAGATTGAGCTCTTTCTTGAAAGCCGTGGCCGTGGCACTTTCCCCATATCAACAACTTGACCAACTCATCTTCACCTATAGTTGTCAATGAAAGGCTTTCCACATCTCCCACGAGGGTGAACCATTGCGATTGCTGTACAAGGGAAGGATCGATAATGTACCCACAAGGTCCCACAGGCAGTAAGCTTCCAATGTGGAACTGGACATCGGTAGAAGACTTTGTGACTTTGCGATCTACTTCATCTCCACCCGCCCAACAGATGTGTCAATGATTCGGGTTTTTGCACGATCCTGTCTCAGGCTGAATCTGCAGGAACTTGTCTGGGAGGAGCCCGATATAGAAGACTCTGTGAGTCTGTGGGATTTTGCGGGAGTTGCAGTGGTGGTTTTGATGGGTCTGTGATGTTGAGCATGCAGCATAGATGTTGATCGTATTTTGCATCGATTGATTTTCTGCTGTTATATGTTGTTTCCCATGTTCCGGCCATGGCCCAGTAGGCATCAATGGGCAATCGAAACGGAATTTCGTTGAAAAACGATGCGGAGATCTGCTGGTTTGCTGGCCGCCTATCCTGAAGAGGAGGTACCTTCGATGGCTACGGGTCGTGATGAGTTGGCTGCAGTGACCTGTGGCGGTTACATCTATGCCATGGGCGGAAGTCATTTGGTTTGGCCAGCCACCCGGAGGCCAATTGAGCGTGCGGAGCCGCTGTTTGATCCTGGCAGTGGAGCCCCTTACGCAAGTGGTGTTTTCTTGGATGAGGTTTGAAACCATCTTTAGCAGAGGTACTTCAGAAGGGCCCAGTGGACCCCCAAAGCCACCGGAGGTCCTGAGGAGACTTAGATCGCTTTTGATTTCACTAGCTGATGGTTGCAATATGTTGCAATCAACAAACCACTTTAGCTTGATTCACAGTTTGTTCCGTGTTTTTCTGCGATCTCGAAGTTGATTTGATACCTCAAGATGTCACTTTCAGGAGCATCATTAACCTGCTGCAGACAACCGTTTCAGTCTTTCAGGCCACCCTCCCTCCCAAAAAAAGGAATCACTGTGTCGCCTTTGTCTCCGCCCCTTCCCAGCGCCCCGTGTCGCCGCCAAAACTCTTCAGGCCTGGAAGGCTTAAAGAGCTACCATCACCCTATCACTGAGTCACCACCTCCGACTTCCAAAAACTCTGCCAAAGCAGCCACCCAGACCTCGGGGTCTCCCGGGTTTTTCGTCGGGTGAAGGAGGCGACGTCGTGATCCATCCATCCTGCGCCGCGCTCCGCTCTTCAGCGCCCAGGTGCGTCATGTCTTGGACTCGGCGGAACGCTTCGACCCAAGGAGTGGCACCTGGCAGGCCCGGGTCGTGGCCACGTCGTGGGGCCCGGATGGGGACGCGGATGGAGGATCAGAATGGCCATTCCAAGTGGGTGGGTGAGAGGATGGTTTGGAGTTTGATGTAGACATGGAGCTACTAGTAACAAGGACGCTACTAGGTGGAGGCCATCGATTTTAAGTTGGAGGCCATAGCTACTAGAAGCAAGAAGCCAAACTTTTAAAGACATGCAAACAGCAAATCGTTGGAGCCGAAGCTGCTGCGGCTCCACTTGCAACACCAGTCTTCTGCCTGCGCAAGTGCAACCCTTTCATTAGCTGCAAAGTCAGATCAGACCCTTTGCAAACCACCAGCTGGACACGGACCTCGGCAGGATTTCGACCGAACCGCACTGGAAGAAGGCCTCAACTTGCTGCGGCAAGCCTGCCGCAAGTGAACAGAGATCTGACTACGAGAATGTCAACTACAAATTTGGCGGGTTCAATTGCAAGCACCGAATCTAATCTAGGGATGTGTTCCATCTACTTCAGGTCTGAGTTATCCCGCCACCCAGGATTCCTCACAATCCCGGAACTGGAACTTAAACACTCCAACAAAGGACTGCCCTTTTCCGAGAATCTGCATTTTCGCAAGCAAGCCACAGAGATTTGTGTTTCAATAGAAAACTGACTTGTCACGTTCAGAACATTTCAGAACCATAATTTAACATACTGTAATTTATATGTACTTGAGAAGAACACACACACTATACCCATCCACAAATGTCTTGGGTTTTTTTTAAGGATATATGATATATATATATAGAGAGAGATTGATTATTATACTGTATATAGGTGCTCTAGAAACCTGGTTCTGACATGTTCTGACTGCCAATGGCCTCCATGTTTCTTCAACCACCACCAATCATTCGCCGTGCCTATGCCTTCAAAGACCACTAGGCGACTACGAAAGTTCAGTTGACCTGGTTTTGCCGTCCAATTCCTTATAAACACACATTCTGCATGTAATCTGTGTGGTTTCTAGACCATGACCATTCGTGCCTTCGAACACCTACCAAAAGAGCAACACCTTCTTTGGAGCTTCGGACGCCTCGCCTCACTCGCCTCCCTAGGAGCTTCCCCGCCTCACCCGCGAGCGCTGCGCGGCGGCCGCGGTGGCGTTGCACCGGCGCCTGGTGGTGCTGGGGGGCTGCGATGAGGTGCCTGCGGTTCCGCGCGGTGAACCGCGCGGTGGGTGAGAGGGGTTTTGCGATTTTGGATCGAGGTTCTTGAGGATATGAAGATGATCTATTGTAAATCAAACTATATATTGCTGAAGAGTTTCATGAACTTCATGGCCGGATTTTTTTTGGGATTTGATATATATATATATATATGTTAAAGTCAATTCTTTTGAAGGGGTAAGGGATGGTGGTAGGGGTTGAATAATGACAGGGCCCTTCCATGGTTAAACTTTGCAAGTTGTCCAACTAAGCTTATACATAGGTTTCAAGATGCAATGTTGTCGCATGGCAACCGTTCAAGAAGTTCAGTTTGTGTGACAAGTCAATTTCCATTCATGAGCCCATGGAGCAACAAGTACGGCATCAGTTCAAGTGTGTCAGGCGATCAAGTGGTGCGACGTGTGTGGCGATCTTTTCATTTGTGTTTGATCTTCAAAGTCTGTTTTGTCCTCTGCACAACATGTGATACACATTGACACACGTTTAAAAAACGAAAAACAGCACAAATCACAAATCACCTTTGGGACTAGTTGAATGAGGGGCAGTGCAGATTGAGCTCAAAAGAGCTATCACATGTCCATCCATTTTTTCTGTAGCCTCGGCTCCTAAGCCAGTGATTCTCACACTACTTATTAGGTTCACTGTGCAAACAGGCAATGGCCTCCAAAGGCCCAGATCTTCGCGCTGAAAGCTTCTCCCCGGAGGGTCCCGGAGCGCTCACCGCGAGGATGGTGTGGCGCTGTCCTCCACGGAAAGCTTGGATCTCACGCTGGGTCAACCCCGCTGGGCACCACTGGCATTGCTTTGGAAGGGGCCAAAGGCATCAACACGGGCTGGATTAGTTTTCTTTGAAAGGCGACAAAGGCGTCTTTGAAGCATCGGGTGTGCACAGATCCCAGTGGTCTGGCCATATGGGATTGGTGGTAGAGCAGTTTGTTACTTGGTTCATGTTGTCGATTGTTTGGGTGTCAACCAGGGGCTTGGGCTTTCAACAGAGTAGATAATTGAATGTCAGGGGTTGCCCAGAAAATAGCTTGATTGGGGTGATGTGTCACTTGAGTTCTCACAGGGGTCTATAGCTTTCTTTGTTGTTTGGAAACCCATGACAAGTATACAGTATACATCCACACCAGATGACAATGGCATGAACACCGATGACAAGGCTACAAAAAAAAAGAAAAATGATGCCCCTTGTCATCGGAATTCCCAGCGCCCCCCTTAGGCACCCGCAGCGAGGCCATCCCACTCCATCTGGCCGCTCCTGCGCTGCGCTTCTCGCCGTGCCAGGAGGTGTTGCCTTCGATGCGGAGAGCTCGCTGTAACTTTGCCCGAAGCCCTGGCAGAGCACGCCCTGGCGCCATGCAGCATGAGGATGTGGGCCAGAGGCTGCAGAACTCGGTTTATAGACTTCCCTAAACGCAATCACTTCCATATGCTTCCATACCTAGATACTCCATGTATGGTATATATATATATATGCCGAAACCACCCCAAGGTAGGCATACATATTCTATACCAATGTGTCATGCATGGGGATATAAAGGGATATAGACTTCTCAACCCAGCGAAGCCTACGGGGTCCGACCAGCCATCGTTGGCAGACTTCGGAGCAGGTTCCGGAGCACAAGTTCCCCGGAGCAGGTGATGGAAGGAGGTGTATTCAGAGGGGGCTTCCGCAGCTTCCGGGATGAGGTTCCGGTGGAACGTTCCGGAGGACATTGCAGATTCGCTGTGTCTCTTTGACGCGCTGAGGTGTAGCCACGCCGATGCGCGGATATGCTTGTGTGGCGTCACGATGATATGTTGTCATGCTGGCGCGCTGGCATAGGGCAGTCACTCTCAAAGGCTGAGATTGGGTCTTGCTGTCTCGCTGACTCGTTGGCAGATTCCAGAGTTGGGTCAGAGGAGGGCTTGCTGGTTCTTACAAGCTTGTAGTGGCGTTGTCGTGCTTGCACATATGTGGGCACATGCCATGTGCTATACCGACGTATTGCCATGTTGGCATGCTCGCGTTGGACGTTGAAAAGGTTCACACTTTTGAAGACAGCATCGTTTGGCAGAGACACGACACTTGTTGGTGAACTTGCGATGGTGCCCTCGCCTATAGTATGCGGCGGGCTTTGATGCCCAGCTGTTGGGGATTTTTCTTGGGCCTTTACTATCTTTATAGAGTCGGCTCACTATGTGGAGGTGTAAGCGAAGCCACCGTGCCCCTTAGAAAAGAATGCAGTACTGAACCAGCACCACTCCGTGATGCAAGCTCCTGCGTGAGCTTCTGCAGGACTCTGGCAGATACCCCAGTTGAACAGGAAGAGGCCGGCTGTTGGAAAAGGTCTTTAGTCGATGCAGGCCAAGAACCTCGAAGAACGGCAGATGCAGACATTGTTCGCATCTGCAGAAAGCGATGCTGGGCCTTTTCAGGCATCAGGCACTGGCGGGACGCTTGGAAACAAACAAGGTGGCCAGCCCCTAACAGTTCCTTTGTGTTTTTTTGCTATCTGGAGCCCACGTGGGGCTATCTGGAGCCCACGTAGCGACCTAACTGTGTTGCCAGGGGCCCAGGCTGTCCACTGATGCCAGATCCCTTCCTGCACGGGAACGAAACAGTTCCGCAGCACGGTGTGACTTTAAACATCCAACCAACCAGCAACCATCAAGCCAGGAAGTACGCTACCCACCTACCAACGAACCTAACATCACCTAATCCTCCTTCTCACTCCACATCACTCCGCCCAGCCAGCCTGTTAGAATCTTTTAACCTTACGTGACAGACGCACACCCTCGATTTCGCCGAGGCAGCCGCCACCTCTGCCGGACGGATCCTGGTCGCCGGCGGCTATGATGCTGGGAGCCCGGGGGTCCGCTGCGAGAAGCTCGTTCCGCGCGTTGCATGGAAAGAGGACGGGACAACGTGGACAGCGCACGGCCCACTACCCATATCCATGTGCACTTCACTTTGGCTATATTTTCAAGAGAAATCCTCAAGAAATATGACAAAGGCATCCGCACCCTGTAAAGCGATGTAGCAAGGACAGGGTTTGGCGATCGCTCATGTGAACCCTGGGAGCATGGAAACACAAATGGATTGGTGTCCAGTCTTAACTCATGGGACATCACATGCAGCCTTTGGGTGCTTCAATGGCCACGTGAGTAGACCAGGAAGATCCAGAGGAGATGGTTGGAGTAACATTCTTACCTTTAGATAAAATTGCCCCGGTCAGTTCAAAAAATTACACCGGCATAGACCCCAGATAGCGGGCGCATAGGTTTAAAGAACACGCCACGGATGGTTGTCATCGCAGCACGCGACATCAGACCAGTCCGGAATGCGCCCGACTTGCCCAACACAGACGAACAAACTGTAAGATGGGCAGCCGAAGCTGGTCAAATGACATGATGAGCACAATATATTGTCATGCGCAATATGACAGCATGTTATTTGTGGCATAACATGATGTCATCCTGGGCATGACATGATGTCATCCCTGGCATGACACCATGTCATCCCTGGCAAGACATGATGTCACCCCTGGCATGCCATGATGCCATGCCTGGCAAGTCTGGGCGTGACGTGAGATCATCCCTTGCATGCCATGATGTCATCTCTGGCATGAAATATGTCATCCCTGGATATCCCTGGCATTACAGGAAACGATCAATGTGCCAGGCACCATCACCAGCACCAGCACGGCAGCAGCACCCCAAAACGAAATGCCGATCCAGCACCAGCACCAGCATGACAAAACGTCGGTCCAGCTCTGCGCTAGCATCAGCGGCGGCAGCGCCCCGCAAACAGTACCTGCACCTGCACCTGCATCAGCGCGGCAGCAGCGCCAGCAAAACCAAAACGCCGACCCACAGCCAGCACCAACACCAGCATCACCACGGCAGCAGCACCCGCAAAACCAAAACGCCGATCCAGAGCCACACCACTGAGAAGTTAAAACCCCATAGCCTGCAGCTAACTAGGGCTTCACCCATGTGATAGACATCCATTAACGATAAAAAATTATCCAAGCTACTCCCAAGTGGCAGCCCCACACAAGTAGTGTAGGTCTCCGAACACCGGTCCTGGAAGCCGGTCATGGACGGCGGAACGACGTGGCACTTCGCCGCGGAAGGGAGGTCCTAGGTGGGAAAAAAATCCAGAAAATCCAGGCAAGCCAATCACTAGTTCACCTGGTTTTTTTGTGGTTCCAAAGAACAAAAAATGCAAACGCCACCTATATAGAAGTGCTGGTTCCTTACATAATGACTTGAAGAAACATCTTGAGTGCCCCAAGAATCCGGGTCCGAAGCGGGAAGGGTGGCAGGGTGCGTAGAAGAAGTCGGGCCGAAGGATTCATAGTTACCTACATTGGGGTCATGTTCGGCTTTCATTAAACTCTTCCCATTCATCTGGTCTGGGATGTTCATCCGGGGTGGCTTTCCAAAACTCGCCCAACTCGAACATGAGATGCCCAAACGGCCCCAAGGATCATACACGCGACGTCGATACCGTGGAGCAGTTCGACCCCTCCCATGGCGCAGGGTCCGCCGGGCGGGGGGGGGAACGAGGTTCAGCGGGTGACATCGGTGAAATGGAGAAAGTGCATGTGCCAGAAGTCACATGTCAGGGGTTGTGTTTAGTCCCATCCAGTGAAAGAATGTGACAGGGGCACCCCAAACCTAACTTCCATGGATGGCACCCAACTCCATGGAACTGTTGGTGTATTGCAGACCTTGGGATCATATGAAGTCGAAGTTGGGAGAAAAAAAAAGGCGAAACCGGGCGCCGCCCAGTCATCAAGGTATGACGCTCTATGATCTCTAGGTATGGGAATGGTTGCAGACAGTTTATGGCCCAAATGTAGGTTATAACTGTATACTATAACTATTCCAGTTTGATGGATGCTTTGGGTATTTCCATGTTCGGGCGCCCATAACTAGATGTGCTTCTTTCGATCCGAGTCATTGACCGCCGGCGCCAAACAAAAGCGACACACGACGCGCATCGCCCATGACGCGCCCAGGTGGGAAGCGGTGCATGTCCTTCCAGTGCCACGATGGGGTGCCGCCGCCCGTTTTCGCCGACGGTCGGCCCTTTTCGTCGGCAGGTCCACGGTCGTTCGTCCAGGTTTACCTGAGGCTGAGAACGGTGCAAATGAGGTCTGTTTGAGCTTAAGAAGCACTGGAGCGATGTGCATGCGAGGTGCATGGTTCTATGTTTCTCTTGAATCTAATTATTTTATACTTGCAATATAGAAGCAGGGTGATGTGTTGTATGAAATGCAGCAATGCCAATCACTATCAGAACAGTCAATGCCTTGTTGTTTTGGTGGTAGGGGGTCATGTTCCCCTTTAAACTGTCTTGAGAAGATCAGTGCGTGTGCTCCTGCGGTCAAGCCGACGCCGACATTCAACATCGAAGATATTTCAGTTTGACGACCGCTTTCCTCGCACAAAAGAGACGTGCATCCTTCACTTCCATTTTGGAATGTTGTTTCGAACTACACCGATCAAAAGGTTGCTTGGTCAGCAGCTATATATCGGTGTAGTTTGAGGATTCACGTCCCGAAACGAAGTCACATGGATCTTGTCGTCACCAGCTCAAGTTCGAGTATGCGCCACTCACCCTGGTCTATACCTGCAGAGAGAACCACCCAAATCAGCAACAGGTTCACGTGCTCTTTCCATTTCTTTCCCTCAAACCCTCTGAGGACAAACTATCCATTGCAAGTCTGGTCACAATGTTGCACCGTGTGGCTTCGCAAGTGGACATGCGAGCCCGCCACGGACCGAGACCCAGAGTTTGTTAGGCCAAAAAAGGCCCCTTATTCCAGGCTTTTCTGTTCAAATAACATCAAATAAGTAGGAAAAGTAGGAAAACAAACCCCTTATTTCAGGCTTACTTTATTAGGCCCCTTAGGTCACCTGAGTGACGGTTCAAATCTGGTGACCTTCCGCTTGCTCCGTTGATGCGAAACGCCCGGAGGTGTCCGAGCAGCCAGCCGTGCCGGGCACATCTTCATCGTGGGCGGGTGCGGTGTCGGGACGAACCGAGGTGTACCCCGCGTGACGCGGTTTGGGCGGAGACCGGGGAAACCGGGTAACGAGACCACACGAGTCTGACCCAGGTCCAAACCGGATTTTGCGGAATCAGGTGATTTGATATTTTCTCGAAGTGGCTTTAACCCCCTTCTGTATTTCTCCCAGCTTCCTGGAAATCCTAGTGATTGTTTACATCCTTGAGTCGTGTTTTGTATGACATATGACCAACTGACCTGTATTTCATGACGTCACTGAGCGGTTGATTGTGTCGTGGATTCGAGGCACACCGTGAGTCGATTTGCTAGGGTTGACCGTTGCACCGAACCGGTTGCACCGGTTTCACGCGCGCCGCGCACGCGCGCGGAACGCCAGCGCCAAGGAGAGGATACCCCGGTACCAGGGCTGGGGGAGTGTGGGTCATCCGGATCACCAGGTACCCGGGTAGCTTGACAGTCCAGACTGTTCATTTGGGGTGGTAAAAAGAACCCAGGTAGCCTATGGTAGCCACATGTGTGACTCACAGCCACACGTGTTCAGATGTTTCCCTCCCAATGAACCCATCATTTTTGGACTCGGACGGATTCCAGGCCCCCAGAGTCAAGAGCTTCTGGTTTGGGACGTCGTTGCTGCGGGCCGCGGCTTCCGCGCTTCCGCCCGGTTTGGGCCACGGGGTGTTTGATGGAGATGGACCATGTGAGGACATGTGACGTACAACATGCCTAAACCATCGCCGGTCGACGAAGGCATGTTGGCGACGGCGAAGTGGGAACGACCGATTGCTGCGAGCTCAGGATGAATGGGTTTTGGGGGTTCGTGTGTTCCTGACTTGGCCCATCTTAAGTCATCCATCCACGGGTCAGTAGGCCAGAGGAACTTATAGTAGTTGCCAGCACTTAGAATACGGACTAATTCAGATTTCTTGAATTAGTCATATTCTAAGTGCATGCTGGAAAAAAGTCACTGCTAAATGCAACGAACCCACATGGAATACAAAAGTTAGAATATAAGCTTGTTTGTTTGCTTGCTGCATTGTAGCTGTTCTTGCTTGCACAAGAGCCAAGCCATAAGGACTAAGACCAGCAGCTTTTGGTCCGATGCGGTTTGGCTACATGCATGAACAGCGCATCAATTCAAAAGTACAGAACATGGCACGAATATGGCTTGCGATGTGGGGTGAAAAGGCAGAACGGCTCAAATGGCTAGTTTGGTGTGCCAGCACAGTTGGCTGCCAGAGTTTGCTCGTGGTCCTTGATGCGCACACACACATGCACATATAGATTGTGTTTGTTAGTTCTTTACCATGTGCAGTGTATGTTCCAAGATTCTAAGTGCATGATCCTCGTACTCTAACTGCATGCTACCAAAAAAGAATTACTTTTTGATGTGGTGTGCGTATTCTATCTGCAGGTAATTGTTCTGAGTAGATTCTAAGTGCCAACAACTTACTTGGAATCATTGGAACTTCTTGGAATCATTGGCAGTTCCTCATGCTTCCACCCTTCAGATCTACAAAGCTCGAGATCGGCGAAACATATTGGAACGCACCCAGGGAATGACATGGGTCCACTCCCAGGGGCGGCGCACAAGGATCCTGAAGAAGTCCATGTACCTGGCACCATGTACAGCTTTCGCACTGTCCATGTACCTTCCCCACACCAAACACCGTGGCGTTTCTATTCCGCACTCCATGGGACCGGACACCTGATTGGCCTAAATAGCGGTCGGGGGGAATTCTTCCTGATGTTTGGGTGGACTGGGTGCGTCTTAAAGTCATTAGGGAAGAAAGTAACGATCAAAAGTAACGAAAAAACCTATTGAAAAACCTTTTGGAAGAAGGCCCGATGGAAATAGTCCTGCCACGAGCCGTGCCATAGCCAGAGGAATTCCCTCAAATCCACACCCAACTGTGGTGATGCTTCTCCAAAACGACCGCCCAGGCCTCGAACACTCCAGCGCTTGGGCCCCTCGTCGCATGTGAAAACCGCCGAAAAGGTCGGAGATTCGATGGAAGCCGAACATTCGTCGGAACATGGACAGCATGTGGAAGCCTTCAATTTGGAAGGTATTTTATGATGGCATCGATACATGAAGTGCTGCATTTCATCAACATGAGCAAGCCATTGGTGTAAGGTGGTGTTTTTTCAAGCGTGAATTTGGAGTGTGCTTTTTGGGTGAACAAATTGGTCGCCAGTCGAACATGAAAGGTTGAACAGATTGAAACTCGCCGGGCTGCCTGCAATGTCTTTGGCCGACACTTCGGTGGAATCGGTGGAACGTTGGCGGATATTCTGCGGAAGCGACAGATGGTCACCTGAGTCGTTTGAAAGGAGGGGAACCTGTGAGAGCTTGGAAGATCTCGTTGGGAGATTCAAAGAAGCTATTGAAAAAACAAGCGAGTGGCACCATGGTACATGGATGTACATGGTATAGAATGATGTATATTATTCCTAATATATGTCCCAATCATGGAAGTCCATTGAACACTCCATCAAAGTCGTCCTGTTTGTTCATGTTGTTTTTCCAAATATGGAGAATATAGATGTTTGTTGTTTATGTTGTATATAGAGTCCCTCTTTACACTTCATGTTGTTGTATATAGAGTCCCAATGAAGTTCCCAACCATTGAAGTCCACTGCCCCTCGGACACCACGTCTCCGCAACAAGGTGAACTATGCGGAGCTTCACGGCTCCCGACGGTCCTTTGGCCTCGCAGCCATTAACGGATGCACCGGTTGATGGCTGAAACAGTCCTGGTTTGGGTCACCGGTGCGAGCCGAGAAAAGGAAAAGCTGTGCCGGTCCTGGTTGGATGGGGAACATGGAACCTGGAACATGGCATCAGGATACATTGTGTGGAGTTGTACTGGGATCATGAGAGGTTCTTGTCTGGGAAGTTGCTTCGATTTGGGGTGCGTCTGATATATAATGGCATGCCACCTTGCGCCACTTCTGAGTCCCCATTCATATCAAGGGAGCCAATGGCCATCAATGACCTTTGGCCTTTGTAGCTTAGTGGTTTGTAGTCAGAGAGAGAGCCATCGGACAAGAATAGAAGGGATGTGTTCACACTTCCATCTTTTGAGTGGATTGATGCTTGATGGTTTAAGGTCCCTGCAACACACAGAAAATCACGCGTTGAGGCACTGGTTTTGAAAAAAAAACGCATTAAGAAGCTAGGCGTGGTGCGTGTTCTAGTTGAAACGACAAACAAGGTAGGACAGAAGAGGTTGATGATTCATGATTCAAGTTCAACTCTCAGAGCTGAGCAGAGGACCTCATCGAACCGTGTTTGATACATCGATCTGACATCTATGTTGGATAATTCAGCAAGAAACATGAAGAAGCCATTCTTGATCAAGCCTAAGTAGCCGTGCTTGCACAGACTCTTCATATGTTGGTTCCCTTTTGCTGTGAGCTGAAATCATGGCTCCAGGACAGGCATGAATCTAACCATATCTAACCCTACAGGTCAATGACCTCATTTTACTGGAGTTGACCCAGATGTCATGTAGCAGGGGCAGACGATTCATTCCCATCAAATCTATAATCTATTTAAGTCTCGAATCAGGTCTTTCCGAATGATGCAGCAGGGCGGATCCACGAATGCTTCACGAGATCAGCAGTACAGACTACGTACTGCATGACTTGCTTTTGGCAGCCTGTCTACGCCCGGATTCCGCGCGAGTGGCTCTGATGGCTGCTGTTCCGGTGATAGACTTGTCCCCTTTTCTCCGAGAATACCGAGATGCATCCAGGCAAATCTGGGTACTCTTGATCTTGACCTCGAAATGCCAATCCCACGGATGGAAAGACCAGCGTCCCTGCAAGTATCATAAAGTATCCAGTCTCTTTTTGCTTGTTTTCGTCCACATGTTACTGTATATGGGAGTGTATGCCCAATCGAGTCGAATGACAGTCATGACAATGTGCGATTGACTGATTAGTGAAAAAGCAGGATCATAGGAACGATCGGAATTGTGCTAACTTGTGCTAAGAGTCGTTTTTGGGGTGTGGAGCCTTTTCCAAGGCTGCCTGACTATTTGGACTTAATTCGAAGTCTAGACTTTCAATGGCCTGGGATGTTCATTCAAGACATGGTTGGCGAAGGGATGTCGGGGTATAGTCAAATTCCACGTCTCATTTCGGTGCAGGAACATCTGGCGTTTGGTAGGTACCTGGTTACCTACAAGATTCCTTCCGCAGGATCTGGAATAGGTGATCATCTACAGAAATTATCATGAGTTGGTCAGGTTTGGTCTCTCAGCCCTTTTGCAAATCTGCACATGTGTTGTTTTCGCAGGCCAGATGCAACGATCAGCGACTTGCCAGAGGACTGTCCTAAGGGTGATGTTACAATGTGAGGTGTGTGAGCCAGCCAGTCAAGTCAGATAAGACGAGCTTGTCGCCTCAGTTTGCTAGCTTGCTGGGACACTCACCTGTGTTCTTGAATAGATCTTAAAGGTCCTTTTGAAATGGTCTCTACCAGGCAGGCACTTTGGTGGCAAATGAATCCGATGTACTAGTAGAGCTAGTGACACCTTCGGCGCCCGTCTCAAAACCTCCCTGTAAAGAAACGATCTGCAATCCTCGAAGTCTTCCAGGTCCAGTAGACGCAGAGTCTATGCCGCTCCTGGTCTAGTCTTATCATCTTGTCCAGGCACCAGAAACCAGGCACAAGAAAGCCTCATCCCGTCAGCCCCCACGAAAGCCTCACGCGCCGAGCCTGCCGGCGCCAGGAGGCTCAGCACGTGTGCCGTGCCTGGCGCAAGGCCTTCGCGGAGTTCGGCTTTTGCCAAGCCACGGGGCACGGAATCCAGGCGCCAGACCCGCGGTCGAGGGAAGCGAGGCGACGAGCGAAGCGGGCGGCCGGTGAAGGTCAAGGATAACGAAGCAAGAAGGTGACCCAAGGAAAGGGTTCTTGGGTAGAGATGGAAGAAAGAAACGACGTGTAAATAGAACCAGAAACAAACGGAGCTGAGTCACAAACACTGGCAGAGTTAGAGGATTTAGAAGGGACATGAGATTGAGCCTGGATCAGCGGTGAACATAATGTGTCAGTGCACTTGGATGGAGAAAAAACATAGAAAAGCATCAACACCTGGCGGCCGCCTAAACCTAAACTTGTCTGATCTGCCCAAACCCACCAGAGATGAGTCTCTCGGTCCTCGGTCTCGTGTCAGGATGAGGTCATTGAAGAAGCTTATGCCGTAGCCCGCCAGTTCTTCACTTTGCCTGTGGAAGCCAAGCAACGCTGCGACACAGGAAAAGCTTATGGAGTCACTCGGACTCGGTTCTCTTGTCTCACATCGGTCTCACCTCGACCCACATCGGTCTCCCTGAACGGATCACGGAACCTGACGCGGTTATTTCAGATGTCTTTAGGTTCCATGTGGGTCGACCCATCCAGGGTGTTGGTGAGCTTTGCCATGTTTGGGGATGGGCTCAGACGGGAAGATGGGCCAACCTGTTTCCGGGGTTGTCAGTTGTCATCAACCCGTGTTGCATATGATGGTGTTGGTGTTGATGATCAACGGTGTGGGTGGTGTTTAAACGATGTTTAAAGCCATCAAGTTCTTGTGACTTGGTAACATCCTGTAACTATGTTCATTGCAGTTGGCTCGAGAAAGACAGACTTTGTTCCCAGCGTGCCTGGAAGGCATTCTTCTGGCATTTATATACAAGTTTTAGTTTTCTTGAACTGTATGGAAGCATTGCAAAGCTGCACAAGGAGAGAACATGCCTTCAAGCGTCAAGCTTCTCTCCGGGCCAACTTGTTTTTGACACGTTGAGTGCTGATTTCGTTTCCAAATCTGATTTGATCTAAGTTGTAGCGCTTCTCACAAGCGGCTCAGCAACAAATCCAATTTGGCTGACCCAATCACATCCCTCAAGTATGGAGTGGATTCCAGTGGATTGCTGAAGCGGACAAGGTCATTTCTTATGTGAAGGAACACCCCTCTGAATTTGTTATAGAGCCAAAGCGCCTTTTGAGGCTTCCAGTGGCTACACCGGGCCTGGCGCAGAACGAGTTAGTGCAACTGCCACGGAATTGCCGGATGGCAAGGTGCCTTTTCCGCCGTCAAGAGGTCCTATCGACGAGAGATGCTAAGGGTGATAGACATATCGGGCTGACATACACTCACATACAAACCATGTCCATAGTCAATTGGAGCCGAGTATGAGATTCTCATGACCTCATTGAGACAGGAGTGAAGGTCTATGTCTATATACCTTAATTATACATCAGGAGTTTCATCAAACATCTCATGCATTCAAGTTTTCTAGATCTTAAGAGGCACCCCATGCTGCTAGCCAGGGCCTCAAGTCTATGTAGAGGTCAATGGCAATTAGATCGTCTTAGAGTATTCTATCCTCGTTTATCATCTATCTATCCTCTAATTTCTGCATTGCATACTCCTAGCATATGGATACGCGACCATGGAGTTGTTCTTTTCCGGATTGCATATTCCATCATATTCCTAGCATATGGATATGCAACTGTGGAGTTGTTTTCTATAACTGGAGTGCATACTCCTAGCTGGCCTAGCAATACGTATATCTAATATGTATGTATATATATATATTATATTATATGAATATGTACATGGAGTTCTTCCACAGGCTCCATGAAACCGGTTCTTCCTCCGCTTCGGCCCGGGCTCGAGGTCCTGGGCTCGGAGAAGGCACGGCCACCCGACCGGGTGGAGTCGATGATCTTCTACGGCCGAGAGGAGGATGCGGCCCGACAGACTCCGGACGAGCTCGTCGGAGTCGGAGTCCGGAGAACTGGGAGCCAAAAGAGACATCGAAAACACACCCTGCCTTACAGGTAGGTCAGGAACTGGGTAGGTCAGGAACTGTTTGATTGGCTGGAGTGGTTTTTTTTGACATGTTCTTTGTTTCGTAGCCAAGTGGCCGAAGGTGATATGCCGGTTTCTTGGGCGTGTGCACATCTAATTGTGAAGCTCTTTGCATCGCTTTGGGCTGCCTCTTTACAGTAGTCGAGACCCATGGTCGCCTGTTTGTTGAACTTGGTGGAGTTGGTCATACAAATACACTACTCCTCTGGAGGCTTTTCAAGAGCAAGTTTTACTGAGTCAGACTGGACGTCTAGGGGATGTTTGAACGTATTCTATCGTATTCTTAAACTGTATTCTTAAAAGGATGTTAATCTCACCCACAAAAACATGGACAGATGATGATAGGTGTGACTTATAGGCGGTGATTTGTATATATTTTAATGGTTTGTTCCTCCACCCACGGCTCGTGCCGGGTTGCCTCGCTGGATGGCACGGTGAGCTACGGCGAGCTGTGGCCACAGCTCGCTGCTGTGAGCGAGCTCCAAACTCGAATGGGATGAGCAGATTGTCATAAGAGGATTTGTTCAGTGATGCGATGAGATGATGGGATGATGGGATGATGGGATGCAAACGACTAATTAGTGGTTTTTCTTTTATCGAGGTGTAGTGGACTCTTCGAGAGCCCAGGGATTGTGTCGAATGTGGATCCACACTTATAATATATGTTTAAATGCATACATAACTAGAACTAATAATAGTATATAAATGTATTTCATAAACATTAACACATTATACAACCACCATCCGATGTAAGTGGGAGTACCGAAGCCTGTAAATACGGACACCGGTGGAGATTGTGCGTGAAAATTGTAAAAGCCCTTGTTCTCTCAGAAGTACTGCCCAGGTCGTGCCAGAGGAGGTCAAGAACTACAGAGAGGTCATGAAGCGTTACTATGAGGAGAGCAGAGCTGACAGAGCACTAGGCTTGTGTACAGGAAATGGAAGGAACATGAAGGAACCATTTCCCAGACTTTTCATTGTCATGAGAGTGGAATATCTACCGCCCCATTAACGTTTTAACCATTCCAACGTGTCTCGTGTTTTGAAGCGACGAGATTCTTCCACTTCCCAAGTCCCACTGGATTTCTTGGGCGGAAACAGATTTCGGATGAAACAAAGCTACTAGGAACAAGAAGCTACTAGGGGCTCCTGGCCGTACTACTAGGAGCAAGGACGCTAGTAACTAGGAGCTTTTCCCATGCTCTTTTGGAAGATGTACCCGTACAAATTGCTTCGCACCGGCTCTTTTCTGTGGCACTCGTCGGCCGCTACGCAAGCCGTAGCTTACTGTGAACGATACCATGCGTGAGAATGAAAGACATACTGCATGTAGACATGTGGCATTGGAGTAGCAACATCATGAATCAATTCCAGAAAGGTGGAGAAGGCAGATTAAAGCTCCTGACTTGACTTAGCAGTTCTTTTTTTTGGCCCAACGAAGTAATCCTAGATCCACTATATAGCACTTTTGGTGCAAGCCATTAATACTCCGCTGGGTATCAGTATGAGGAGCAGGTTCTGAAGAACATGAGCTGGAACAATGTTGCAAACATTGCTATCATAGAACAGCTTCACAGTCAGTGATGAAGCTGATCATGCCGGAAAGGGGGCTGGCAGGATGCTTGCACGGCTTCAGAGGTCTGTTTATTCGAAGCTATGCAGACATCATTTCATGATGCTGAAAAGACTCCAACTAAAAACATCGTAAAGTCTTATGAGTCAAGAAGAGGGTTCAATTCGGAGTTCACGTAGTACTGCCCAGTCCAACACCGGTTCTTCGACCTTCACTCCGGTTACCTTCACTCTCCAGGAGCTGAGGGGACTACTCCTCGCCTCGATGGCACTCACGGCCGCGTCCTTGGAGTTGCCATTGAACTATTTCGATCGCTACTTCACGGCCGACAAGTTGACCAAGGCGGGGTGGGGACGTCAACACGGCGTCACGTGAAGCCCTGCGAAGCATTTGAGCCCATATGAGGCTACACATGCCTACACCATCAGTGCAAAACCTGTTTTTGGGGATTGGTGTTCCCACCAAAAGTGAACAGGGAGAAATGGTTGACCTTCAATTTCCAGGAAGCTGAGGGAGTCAGTAAGTCACTCGAGAATTCACTGTCAACGTCATCCATGTGTTTGCACGCGTAAAGAGATGCAGGGCGATCCGAAAACCATCAAGTCCTCTACTCAAATCCCGAACTCTTGCAGTCATGCTGGTCTTGAGAGTCCAGAGCTCATGCAAACCGGGTACCTCGCAGCTGCCCAGAACGAAATCTCCCTTCGCTTGGCATACTATCCAGCCTATGAAGATGGAGTGGAGCCACTTCCTGGACAATTGCGCTACGGCGAGCACACCGACTATACAGGCAGATACTGGAGTCAAGATCACGGGGATTTCTTGGAACTACTCGATATGAAGCCATTTAATGTCCGAAGTTTGGTGATGTTTTGACCAGTGCTGATATCCAGTTGGTGAATGTTGGTGATATGATATCCCGTTTGCAATAACACAAACACACTTCAACTCAATCATCCATGAGAGTTGTTGTTCAGACCTTTGGATATGAACTGAAGGTTTCACACTTCTTTGGCAAGATCACAACATCACTGGCTTGGCCCTTGGAAGAGTTGTTTGAACTGGAATGAAAGGCGTACAGCTCATGCAAAACAGGTTGATCCCGATTTTAAGAGAGAGAGAGAGAGAGAAAGAAAAACAATGAGTGTTTATATTATAAATATGTGTGTTTATTGACAGGTCCTTTGTTCCATGTAATGGCGACACCGGATTAATAAACACTCCCTCCTAAAGGTTTGCTGCTGGGCGGGGGGGCCAGACAGTGGGATTCTTTTTGATTTAGGGGTGGTCAATCAGGAGAGGTCACCAAGACTAAATCACTTCATGAGGAGGGATCCCCAATCTCTTCATGAGGAGAGGCCCCAAAGACTAAATCTCTTCAAGTTTATTGGTGGTTGATATGTCTTCCACCACGCGGAGGGCCAAATTATTTGGGGGGTCATGAATAGAGGGATTACGGGGGAACCGGGATTCTGGGTGATTTGGGGGGACCTGTGGAGAGGTTTAGTCTGCAGCCATGAAATTGACTGATACAGATGTCAACGAAAACCGAGCATATGGTAGAGTGCCTTGACCATGCCATGGAGAAGATGATCCAGAAGAATGCTGAGTTGGGTGTGTGCATGACATGGGCAATGCCAAATGAGTTACAGTTTCACTATGAGTTTCGCTGAATGGGCAATGCCAAAGGCATCAACAATGAGGACCACGGGATGAAGGATTGGTGAAATTAAAGTGGTTGAAGAAAGGGATTAAAGGAGGTTAACTGGGGGCTGAGACAGGTGGACCAAACTATACAATTAAGGGGGGTTCTGTACCTGGGCTAGAAGCCTTTTGGAAAGGCCTTTGTATTGCAGGCCCCGAGGCGGACAAGACTAATAGGAGGGTGTATGTTAACCCCGTGTTTACACTGAACCTCCGTAGACAGAGTGGATGGGGGCACGTGCTCAGTGCAGATGTTTTCAGCTTGCTGCTGTCACGCTAAAGTGTGACACATCCTCCTTCAATCATGATGCTGCTAGCATCTCATCAGGTCAGCTACTGTAGACGGTTGATTCCCTAGAAAGACACACACACACACACATTTGGATTGTAAAACCATATAGAACCTCTGCTTTTCTTCCAATGAGTCAACCGTTTAGTTCATCACCAGCGCCAAGGTCCTCAAACGGCCAAGGAGGGTCTCAACCCGCCCTTGGGCGGACTACAAGTCCGTATGCCCGATGGCTCGTGGGCGGACTGCCCTCCAGCGCCCGCAGCTGAGTGTGCGGGTTTTACCCCATGAGAGACCTAATCACTTGGTCAGTTGGTTGTGATGTGGAAGTTTGCCTCGATTCTGGACCATGGGTCACGGGTGTGTTTTCTTTGTGTTTTTCAAGTTGTGACAACCAGTATGCCTTTTGAAAGAGACTTTTGGAGATGTTTTGGGCCATGGCCCTCAGTTTGCTGCTGATGTGTCGATACCGTTTGATATCAATTACGTACATCCTCAGAATGTGAGAGGTTCCAGTTGGCAGCCCGAACTCTCGAGCTCCACGCCCAATTCTTTGGCGAGCAAACCAAAACTGTTTGGACGTGGAAAGAAGACTCTTTGTTGATGTCACCGATTTGGTGATTTGTGCTTCGGTCAAGTCCATCGTTGCAACTTGTGTTTCGGTCATTTCCTCACAACGTGGGAACCCGAGAGCGCCTGCTGATCGGAAGACTCGACGACCAGAATTCCCCCAAGGCCGGGTGCGTTCACCATCAATGCAGGAGACCTGATCCAGGTGCCCGGTCGAAGACGTTTGCGTTGTGCATGCGCCACCGTGGCGGAGTTCTGGTTCCACCGTGGCGGTGGTTTCTCTCCTACCGGATTCCCCGAAGTCATGGTGACGGTTGCGTTTGTGCATGGCCCTGAAAGGAGGACCATCCGCCTACTACATCGACCTTCATCAGAGGTTTAACGGACGTGTTCCGTTTCTTCGGACGTTTTTTCGGATGTGGGTCGTAAAGAAAAAGGCGTGATGGTCCGAGAGTCCACGACTGGTCCTTCACGAACCACCAATCCATTCAGACCGGAAGACTGGTCTTGGTTGGAGCTCTATGTGCCACACACACACACACCGGTCCACCTATGGCAAATATCGGGGCGAGTAGACAGGGGTGTTGGACAGGGGTGAAGGTAGGCCTATACCATCCTATATACCTATTATGGAGTGTTTGATCGTGTGTGTGTCTATTGTTTATATATATATATATATATTTTTTTACTCCTACATCTAAATGCGACCTCATTTTACTGGACATGGACATTGGTCATCATACAAAAACACTACACAAGGAGGTCATAGTCAAAGACAAGTCTTTACTGACTCAGACTCGGACTTGTAGGGAAGGGATTCGTTCCCGAAGACCATCATCATCACCATCATCATCGTCATCCAGAATGGGATATACCCAGCCTACCTACTATGGAGTGTTTGAGTTTATTCATAGGCCATTCCCATCGTCCTACTGGTGTGCTGTTGGTGATGAATGTATAGGCCTCACTGGTATAGCTACCACGCTTCCAGTTCGGATGGCCGTGGCGCCAGAAGCGCCCCATTTGTTCCGCAACCTCCACGTCTGACCCAGGCCTGGACCAATGATGAATTCATGTCCAACTGGCATCGAGTGACGAATCCTCCACCTGGGGTGCTCCACTCAGCAAGAAGGCATTAAAGACATAAATATGGCAGTGGGTCAAAACTGGGGGACCCTGGTTGACCACGGAAAATGAACAGAATAGACTACCTGGAAGGTCAAACTCCATCGTTTTGACCCACATAACAGTTTTCCATGTTTTCTTCTCAGTTTAGGAAGATCCAAGTGTAAGGCGATATGGCGTGTTGATTCGCATGTGACCGGCAGGTGTCATTTCCCGAAACAATAGCATTTAGCTGCCCAGCAGAAGTGAAACGCACATACTGAGATTGATATATGACATTGACCTACTACATAGTCCTGCATTCACACCTAAAGCAACCCAATGTAGGCAAGATTCCATACGACTATTTGTCATACTCTTCGGGAGAACTCGATCCAAGGACCGACATGATCGGATCAGTCTGGTCGTTTTCACTGGCCCTGCCAATGACACCATCGTCGAACCCTTGTGGCTTTCTCAGCAAACTGCCTTGCGACACCTGGTTTTGCCGATCGTTTTGTTGTGTTCCCCGTGGGTGAATCCCCCGACTCATGGGCAACAGTTCCTTGCGGAAATCCAGGATAAACATGTCAATGTCATTCAATGTTCTAGTCTTTGAGCACTTATATAATAATTCTTCAAACAATACTAACAGCAGTCTTGCTGTAGGTTCAGATCGATTTTACTTGGTGTAATGCCCTTTTGGCTAACGGTGAGTGTTCATCACAGCTCAGGCCTACTTGTGTGAGCCCTGATCGACCGCCCAAGTGCCCGATGGTCGACCGGTGGTCACCGGTGGCGTGGTCGACTCCTGACATGCCTTACAGGTCAGGAACAAGCCTCATTTGGTCGGTGAAAACGCTACTCTTACGAGGTCAAACAAACTGGGTCAGACTGGGTCAAACGGACAGGACTGTTCGGACCGAGACTGCTGCCTTGAATTGACACCATGAGTTTTTTAATCGTTTTTGCAGAAATGGTCGTCCCTTCAGCATGTTCATGTTTTTGGTTGTCAGGTACATGCCCATTTCAGCGGGAGAGCATTTGGCCAAGAAGCTTCAAGCTTCCAATGTTTGAGCTAAATGTTTGGGGTCTTTTGATGCCGGCTTCATCAGCAGGGTGACCGTGCAGTCGTTCGCATCCAAAAGAAGTCACTCTTTTTGAGACGTTGTGCACCACTTGATGGGTTTGGAGGTGGCGCTGCTTCTGAGTTGACCTGCAGTTTGATCTTGTCCAAGCTGGCTCAGATGCTTAGAACATATCCGTTTCGGGATTATTATATACAAGTATAGTTGTTGCTTCATGACAAATCCACAGACGAGCTCAAAACACACTTCGGTTTCGTTCTTGAAGGCACTAGTCGAGCAAGACAGAGAGTCTCGTTTGGCACGGAGTGCCATACCGTCGGCGTTCGGAGTTCGGAGTGCCATGACTCCGGGCTAAACCGTCCATGGCAGCCTGGTTTGGCGAAAAGGGTGTTTTTGTGTTGGTTCCCTATGGGTAAATCTCCCTTCCGGGAGTTTTGTATCATTATTGTGTTTCTTCTTTTTCTTCGGTTCCTGGGAGCAAATCCAAGGCAGCCAGACTTCGCCTGTCGCCGTACTACTCCAAACTGGCCCAGCACCTTGGACGGGTCGGATGGTGTGTTACTTCGGTTTCGGAACCAACTTGGATTGCTTGGGGTTGGTACGGGCCTCAAAGTTTGAGAGGTCAGCTTGGTGTTGCGGATTGGGTGATGTTTGCTAAATATGGCCATCCCCTTCTGGAAAATAGATGATAATAATAGTATTTTGTTTTCCGGGGTCCTCCAGCCAAATCCAAGTCAGTGGGTCAAAAAATGCTGGGCATGGATGGTTTGGCGCACTGAGGTTTGCTGCCAGTGACGATGACAAGAAGCTTGGTAGGGAGCTGAGTTTCCATGCCGTGCTGGCTTTAGAGGGTCAATATAGGAAGATGGTTCATCTATCCTTTGGGACATGTAAATGTATCAATTACCTATTATGAAGCAGTTATAAGCCACCTCAAGCCATTTTACACCAGCTTCTCCAGTCAAGACGCAACCTGGATGAGGTCTGGATGTTGATGCCAAGGCAGGAAACCCCTTTCTCGATCCCGCCGGGTCGCCTCCCGTACCGACCGCTGGGTCCGTGCCATGCGCCAGCCCGCGGGGCCGAAGCTGGCGCAGAAGATGCCAAAAGAACCACAAAACCTGCACAAACCTGATCGATTCAGTGTGATGAACGGCAGGAGCAAGGGAGATGAACACTGCGAAACACCTATTGAAGTTTTGAATCTCTCCTGAGAGGAAGCGGAAGATTTGGCATGGAGTACTGAGGTCTTTTAGGGGTCTCCCCTGCGGTTGTGATCCAATAACCCGCAAATGTTGTTCAGTTGTTCAGGCTGGGTGTGTATTGGACTGGGGAAACCCGTCAAGGGCTCCTCCAAAGAGGACAAATCGACGAGCAGTAGTTGGAGGGTCTCCGGTTTCCCTTTCTACACCCGAATTAGGCTATGCATATTGAAAGATCCACTAAAACCCAGCAGGTGGAGGGTCTCCCTATTCTAATCCACAGCCAGATTCGATCGTTAATTCAGATCTTGACATCTTTTTGATCTCCTCGAGGCCTCCGAGGAGATCACAGCAATCTGTCGGCACTTCGACTTGCTATGCGAGGCCCACACTTCAGTGTTGTGTGCGCAGGGGACCTGTGCGCAGGGGACTCGACAGATCTTCTGAACTGGTGCCAGGACGGTCGGACCATCCACTGGGGACCAATGATAGACTACCCTATCTGACTGGTGCGACTCGTAGGGAATAAGGGAAGTTTCGCCCCCAATAGAGATTCTATTGGATCCATTCCCTCATTCCCTGCTAAGCACCAGTCAGCTATGCTACACATCCCTACACTGATTGATGGGCTTTCCTCGCCCGGCCGAGGTAGTGATTGCATCGGCAGTCTGTCGATTCACGCATCAGCTTTCACGTTGGAGTTACCCTGGTAACCAGCGGATCGGATGATTTCTTTCCCGGCTCCTGGGTGAATCCCCCATGGCAATGGGGAAGCTACCAGCAGAGGTGGGTCAGAACCCTATAGACTATCCTATAGGTATACCCCTGGTGACGGGTCCTTCTTTTCCCGGTTCCTCAAATCCAGTCGTTGCCAAATGGCAAGGGGCCTTGACTGGGGGATATGGAATCGGCGACCCAGTGAATTATCCATCTTCATCCTCATGCTCTCTTCTATGTGTGTTCCCATCCATCTTGCAACACCACATGCCTTCCCCTGTTTTGTTCTTTTCTTCCCCATGCTGTGCCTAATTATCTTATATATTATATATATATACACAGTAGATTCATCAGCTGCAGTCGGTTGGACATCTCGAGCGGCAGCGGGGCTCAAGGACACCACTTCCTCTCGACGCGCACATACATTTGCTAGCATCCGTATTGGATGCCGCTGGAAATCCAAGCGCAGGTCACCGGGGTTTCTCAAGGCATGTCCCATTAGTGCTATGTTTTTTCAGCGCTTTCCAAATCGGGTTCCCAAATCTTCGTACTGTATGTGAAGTGGGTTGGATAGGTATGGGCAGTTGGTGCTGCTGATAGCATTTGATAGCATCCGTTTGGCAGCGTTGTTCTGCTCCACATCGTCTCACCGCTATCCTCGCATCCGTCTTGGGACCCTTATGTTTCAGATCATAGCGTACTCCCCACATGTCATAGCGTCCGTCTTGCGACCCTTATGTTTCACATCATATCCACCATTTTGCTTCATGGCATATCCACACGTACACACATCTCATAGCATCCGTTTAGCACCATTGTGCTTCACATCCTGTCGCCCTGTCGCACTTCCACACATTTGCTTGCATCCATCCATCGAGACCTATCTTGATGCCATATGCTTCACTTCATACCGTTATGTCTAAAAATCATATTGTGACTTACATCGACAGCAACATCCTCTCGCAACATCCTCTTTCGCAGCCCATGATAGCTTTCGCCACAACCCCCCCTCATTCTTTGCTTTTCCGTAGACTAGACTCTTGATTAAGGACTCTTGGTTGTTTCAACGACTCTTGGTTGTTTCAACGACTCTTGGTTGTTTCAATTCCACAAATGGATTAAGGACTCTTGGTATCTCTTGGTTGTTTCAATCCAGTTTATTTGTTACGAATGGATTGAGTCTCCACTACCCTCGAACGCCAGGTGCTTCCAGCCCCTCCGGGCTCAGTAGCGTCGAAGCGACTGACGATCAGCAGATCGGCCAACAACTTCGATGAGGCGCCAATCTACTTCGATGGCCTCCAACCTACTAGCGATGGCCTCCAACCTACTAGCGATGGCCTCCAATCTACTTCGATGGGTTGCAGTGGATGTGGGATGATGTGGAATCTTCCGATGGATTGTCCGAGGTTTTCCTGATCAGATCGGAGTTTCGAGTGTCGTTCCTTTGTTCGACTCTCTTCTCAGAAAAACTGTTCAAGGATGGGATGAATACCCAATAGACCAAAAATGACCAAAATAAAAGAACAACATTTATGCTACAGTAGCATGAAGAAGAGTTCCCTGAAGTGTTGAGTTGAGACTTCTACTCCAGCTCCAGCCATTGGGGGTTCCATCGAAACCGACGGGCCCGGGGTAAAGCAAGAGATATCATGAGATATCCACTACAAAAAAGCTAGTGGATTGCTGGGGCGTATTGTATTATACGCCTTCTTTTTGTGTGTAGATCAAACCTCTATCCTGTGGTCCCTGTGCATCCGTCGAACCTGGATCTGTCAAACCATATGTCTTCACCTGCTGATGCCACCGATCAGAAAACACCAAGGCAGAGCCGGAAGCGGTGAGCGTTCAACCAAGACCTGTGGTGGTCAGCGGAAAGGCCGGGTTTATGGCGTGGTGGACCCACGCACCGGGGGGGAGGGACCAGAACAAAATGGAAGAAATGGATGGGGATGGAGGATGGAGGAGAGAGATCAACCTCTTCACATCCATTAGTCCATTAGGCGTAGGAGATGGATGAAACCTTTGGTCTTCCGGAGCCGCGCTTTCGCCGGGCCACGCCATGTGTCGCCGGGCCACGCCATGTGGGTAGCCTGCCAGGTCGAGATGTGTCGACAGTGAGCTCTAGAGCTCTGGACCGGTAGATGGACGTGGTGCGTGTTCTTTGGTGCCCTGGGTACCAGGAAAAGTGGATAACCTTTTAACCTTTGTCTGGGGATGGGTTTCCCCACGAAAGATTAACAGATGGACAAAGGATGACAAAGGCTAAGCTTTTTGTTAAAGGATTTAGGGGAAAGTCAGGTGCTGTGTTTTTTTGGAAATGAGGTTTTTGGAGCACTTTGCCAGGTAGTTTTGAGGATTCAACTCAAGTGGTTTCTGTCCAGTACTCGCAACGGTGAGGGCTACTTGGGCTACCTTGGTGGGTGATGTCGTTTGTTCATACAACGCTTTAATTCCAGTATCATCCATTCTCCATTCTGGGTGTCCTGGCTGGAGGTCCAGAAGCAGTTTGCTGGGTAGTCTATTGGACACCCAGACAGGATGACCCAGGTATGTTTTGATTGGTCACTTTGAGTCATTTGGGTTAATCCTTCACCCATCACCTACAAGCCCAGGACGCTAAAACTGCCATCTTCCACCGATTCTTTTCACGGGCAGGCTCGTCTTGCCGAGCGCTACGGGAAAAAGCCTCCAAAGGCGGCCGTGGAGGCGATTGTTGGGCACATCACAGCACAAACACGCACATACCAGATAGATGTTGGAGATGCTTATGACATCTGACGGATGAGGTAGGCTAGGTAGGCTGACACACACTCGCACACAATCACACACACATGTCACATATGCATACTAGGACCATGCTGTTTGTGTCTCCAATAACACTAGATACGTGGGCTTCTACGTACGTGGGCACCCAAAACAGATGCTCCATGTAGACTCTTTTGAATGGCGAAGGTTTATAAGTTGGTCCGTCTTCGCCACGATTTGTACCGTCTTCGTCTTCGGCCGCTGCTGCGGGTTGATTTGGGGAGCTTCACGTGAGCCAAGTATGTCTACCCGAAGGCAGAAC